CAGCCAAGACATGATTGATCTCTGAAGTTTGCTTTTAAAGTTGCACTCAAGCTATGAGGCTAATGGAGCCAACAAGTAATGGAAGCATCTGTACACCAATTAGCGTCAGGCTAACCGCATGTCTAAATCATTACGCAACCATGTGGAGTTGTTAAGTAATCTCTAATAGACCTGATTAGGTGGCTTCTGACACTGTGTGACACACTGTCTTCTATAAAACTCAACAAAAGTACATTAGCATAGCTGAAGACAGTAGTAGAAACCATTTATAGAGCCATGTTTATAGATGACCGTATGTCACAGTGTGAGAAACCACATAAGCTGGTGTTACATTTGGAGAAAACTGTGTAAATTTGGCTTTTTGAAAGTATCTCTTTAAGTTTTGCTGAGTTTGCTGGTTCTGGTTCTGTATGTTATCATTTTTCACACAGGGAGCGGTGAACCTGTACACGGAGGCTCAGATCCGCCAGGCTTTCCACCACAGCTTCTCCTCTTTCCAGACTTCTCCTGAGGCCCAGGTTGACGCCTGCAGCCCTGGAGGGGCCTCCCTGGCTGGCGTGCAGGGCCTGGGCAGTGGCGGGGGGGCGTGGACATCTGCAGCAGTAGAAGTTAAAGATGGAGGATCATCGCCGAGGAAGCTGATAGTGTTCCACTGCGAGTTTTCGTCAGAGAGAGGACCACGGCTGTGAGACTCACTAACTCACTGCATACATTACCTGTCATAAGTTTGGACACATGCCAACTCATTCCTGCTGTGTCCCACGTTTCAGAGTAACAGTGCAGACATCAAAATTATGAAATAACACACACGGTGACCAAAAGAGGGTTAAACACAGCAGTCTGAAGAGCAGCCCTGCGTGACTGATCACAGTGTTGTGGGTTCACTGCCCACGTCCACTTAGTTGCCACTGTTGGGCCTTTGAGCAAGGCGCTGAGCCCTCACTGCTCCAGGGGCGCCGTATCATGGGTGACCCTAAGCTCTGACCCCAGCTTTCTAAGCTGGGATGTGAGGACAAGAATTTCAGAAGTACAATGTACAATGATAATAAAGGTACTTACTTAATCTGGGGTGCTTTTCCAACAGGGCTGAAAAAGTCACACTACAGTCCAGTCGTATGCAAAAGTATGAACACCCCGGTCCAATTACACATATACATGTATACATACGTGTAATTTTATATATATATAAGAAAACCTCGTATCTCCATTTTTCCATTTTTGTCGTTTTTCAGTTTTTGACATTTTTGAAATCTGAAAATTCCTGTTGTTCTTTACATTGTGTGTAAATTTCATGATAAATGGACTAAAAGAAACAATTACTCAATTACTCTCAATTACTTGAGAAAAAGTCTGGTTCCACTGACTTACATTAAAAGTGCATATATATATATATATATATATATATATATATACACTGCTCAAAAAAATAAAGGGAACACTCAAATAACACATCCTAGATCTGAATGAATGAAATATTCTCATTGAATACTTTGTTCTGTACAAAGTTGAATGTGCTGACAACAAAATCACACAAAAATCATCAATGGAAATCAAATTTATTAACCAATGGAGGCCTGGATTTGGAGTCACACACAAAATTAAAGTGGAAAAACACACTACAGGCTGATCCAACTTTGATGTAATGTCCTTAAAACAAGTCAAAATGAGGCTCAGTATTGTGTGTGGCCTCCACGTGCCTGTATGACCTCCCTACAACGCCTGGGCATGCTTCTGATGAGGTGGCGGATGGTCTCCTGAGGGATCTCCTCCCAGACCTGGACTAAAGCATCCGCCAACTCCTGGACAGTCTGTGGTGCAACGTGACGTTGGTGGATGGAGCGAGACATGATGTCCCAGATGTGCTCAATCAGATTCAGGTCTGGGGAACGGGCGGGCCAGTCCATAGCTTCAATGCCTTCATCTTGCAGGAACTGCTGACACACTCCAGCCACATGAGGTCTAGCATTGTCCTGCATTAGGAGGAACCCAGGGCCAACCGCACCAGCATATGGTCTCACAAGGGGTCTGAGGATCTCATCTCGGTACCTAATGGCAGTCAGGCTACCTCTGGCAAGCACATGGAGGGCTGTGCGGCCCTCCAAAGAAATGCCACCCCACACCATTACTGACCCACTGCCAAACCGGTCATGCTGAAGGATGTTGCAGGCAGCAGATCGCTCTCCACGGCGTCTCCAGACTCTGTCACGTCTGTCACATGTGCTCAGTGTGAACCTGCTTTCATCTGTGAAGAGCACAGGGTGCCAGTGGCGAATTTGCCAATCCTGGTGTTCTCTGGCAAATGCCAAGCGTCCTGCACGGTGTTGGGCTGTGAGCACAACCCCCATCTGTGGACGTCGGGCCCTCATACCATCCTCATGGAGTCGGTTTCTAACCGTTTGTGCAGACACATGCACATTTGTGGCCTGCTGGAGATCATTTTGCAGGGCTCTGGCAGTGCTCCTCCTGTTCCTCCTTGCACAAAGGCGGAGGTAGCGGTCCTGCTGCTGGGTTGTTGCACTCCTACGGCCTCCTCCACGTCTCCTGGTGTACTGGCCTGTCTCCTGGTAGCGCCTCCAGGCTCTGGACACTACGCTGACAGACACAGCAAACCTTCTTGCCACAGCTCGCATTGATGTGCCATCCTGGATGAGCTGCACTACCTGAGCCACTTGTGTGGGTTGTAGAGTCCGTCTCATGCTACCATGAGTGTGAAAGCACCACCAACATTCAAAAGTGACCAAAACAACAGCCAGAAAGCATAGGTACTGAGAAGTGGTCTGTGGTCCCCACCTGCAGAACCACTCCTTTATTGAGTGTGTCTTGCTAATCGCCAATGATTTCCACCTGTTGCCTATTCCATTTGCACAACAGCATGTGAAATTGATTGTCAATCAGTGTTGCTTCCTAAGTGGACAGTTTGATTTCACAGAAGTTTGATTTACTTGGAGTTGTATTGTGTTGTTTAAGTGTTCCCTTTATTTTTTTGAGCAGTGTATATATATATATACTAATGTGCATGCCTACATCAATCAATCTACTTTTATTTTCCAGCTTGTATTTTCAGTTTTCTCAGTTTCCATGCCTACTGAACCCACAGAAAGTGTTATTATTATTATTGTTATTATTATTATTATTATTATTATTGAGTCAGTGTCTCAGTGATTGCTGTGTGCTGTTTGCGTGTTTGTAGGTGTCAGTATCTGCGTGAGTTGGACCGTGTTGTAAATGCTCAGGCTTATCCTCTACTCCTCTATCCTGAACTCTACCTGCTGCAGGGAGGATTCAAATGCTTCTACACCTGCTGCCCGGTAGCACACATACACACCGTTTATTTTTATACAATGGGATCATACATTTGTCCCATATGTATTAGAAATATATGTAAATATCTATATGTAATAATTATGGTCCCATATGTATTACACATATATGTAATAATAGTGTGTCCCTTATACATTATATATTTGTAGGGACCTCTATGTCATAATAGTATGTCCCATATGTGTTACATATATGTAAGTATCTATGCAATACATAAACATACAAATATGTATATAAAATTGCATGGTTTATTATTACATATGATTATGTATATGTAAGTGCTTGTATATAACATATATATATATATATATATATATATATATATATATATATAAGTGCCTATATGTAATAATAACATGTCTGATATATATTTATATCTAACACCGGTATATACATAGACATATAAGTGCTGTAAACCTATTGTGCATAATTACAAACAATTCAAAAACATAATTATTTAAAACATAATTCATCTGAGCCACACGTTTCCTCACATGGTTTGAATAAACTAAGCGTATCAGAGTCTACAGTCTCTCAGTATGTCTCTCTCTCTGTCTCTCTCTCTCAGGAGCTCTGTGAACCCTGTGCTTATGTGCCGATGCGTCACCGGGACTTTAGAGAGCAGCTCCACCGATTCAGCAGGAATAGGCGCTTGCATCATCGCAGGCGGCCAATCAGAGCTCAGCAGAGGACGGCACGCTTTTAGCGCTGACCACGAGCTGCGGGCCGGCCTCGTTCACATCACATCACATTAAAGAGGTCTGTTTGCAGTGCAGACAGTCTGTCGTGTACTGTAGTGATTTTGACAGCACTCAGCTAATAAAGTTAGACACCACTGTCTTTGCTTTCTCTCCTGTGGAGTAAACACTCTCTACATTGTCAGTGTGGACCCCCCAGAGTAAGACACCCCCCCACTGCTAATTGTCAGTTGTCCTTTGTTATTGCTTATTAAAGTGAGGTGGCACCATTAAGACATAAATCGATCAACGTTTCATTTTAGAATGTAATATTTTAAGTGTAGTTGGGGGCACAAATTCATGTGGGGTAAAATGTTATATGGATACTTGATGAAATAACTCAGGTTCAAGCAGAATGTGCTTTTAGTCATCTTGTATTCCCATAACAACATCATCTACTTTAGCCAGGCTAAAGCACAGCCGCCACATGGAGGGGTTAGTTTTAACACGCTGTTACATCTAAGGCTGGATTTACACGGTGAAACTTTCATGCAACTTTAGTTGCTTGAAACCTACATGAAACTAAATCGCGCATGAGCTGCGTGATGTAGAGCGTCCTGCAACTCACTCAAAACTCAGCTGCAACAGCTGCAAGCGTCTCAACACCTAATCAAAACACTGATAATGCATCACATGATCACAACAAAACACACACTTTCAAACTATTGATTTCACCAAATCAGTTGACAAGAAAATAAACAGGAGATTGTTTATTATTATTGGGTGGTTGAAAAGGAAAATTTCACTGTATAAAGCCAGCCTAAGAACCCCAAGATAAATAATGAGAAAAGTCCATAACCCCTCATAAAAATTCAAAACAGTCAATTTTTTGGAGGTTTTTTATGCAAAGATTCATCAACAACATGTTATAAAATCTTACACAGCACTCTGATCTAAAGTGGCGACTCTACATACCAGTTCAGTTTTACTCTTTGACTCAATATTGTTGTGTGTTGTCAATATATTCCAATATATATACAAAACACATTTGGAATATCTTTTCAATAAATTACATGTGAACCACCTCATGGACCTGACTTGTAACTCACTGACTCACTCAGTCGTTCCGTCACTCACTCATTCACATTTAGCAGGCTTTACATTCTCCAAAAGGGGGCGCCATTAACACTTTAATGGCTTTTGGTGCTTCATGAGAGCCGTGCTTTGCATCAGTGACACTGTGTTCTTGTTTTCTATGGATCCACTTAACCAGGAAAATAAAAGAGCTCAGGCACATAAAACCCACTAACTGAAATGTAGGCCTTGGTTTTTAGTGACAGTAAACGCTCTATGAGATGTTTGTTGAACTGCAGATGCTTTCAATGGTGGTTCAATGACAGCAAAACCTTCCTAACAGTTGAATGGCACTTTTAGAGACTTGGTGGTCTCCGGGGTGCAGTCACATCCTACAGCTGTCCAACTGTGATTCAAAATACACTTGTATTTCCTCTCAGGCTGGTTCACTACAGCTCCTGTTGTTTGAAACTTTGTAAAAGCAGTTGTTCGAAACTTCATAATTATTGCCCTGACAGTGGAGATGTGAAGCTGGTTAGTTAAAGCCACTACCTGATTTATGAAGGTCAGCGTCCTTGTCTTATTTCATCTGTGTACTCACTGATGTTGATGGATGACTAAAGGGTGTTTGGGCTGCATGTCACTTCATATTTAGACCCCAGTGTGGTGGGAAGACACGGCTGACCACTTCTAAAGACTCAGGTGTGCTTAAAAACAGATACGAATGAGAGCGTATGAGAAATTAGCTCTTGTCCATAAGACTTTTTGATATGCCAGTAGTTGCCAATACTTTTTTATATGTTTTTCATGTTTGCCTCACTAAAAAATTAGATTTCTCTCATTTTGATAGAATCATAGACATCCAAAGTCATGCAGCATTATTACGACCCATATTATGAAAAAAACAGTGGTATTTTTGAAAATTGGCACCGTCACACCATGAGGTAAACTAAAATATTCCAAGGCTAGTATGTTTTGTCCTGTGTATATTCACCCCTGAATGTCACCAAATCCTCTGAGGTCATTATTACAAGGTTGAAATATGGATAATACTACATATGTGCTACAAGATACTCCTATAGTAAAGTAAATCTACTATTCAACCTAAATACTATTGAGTCGTTACAATTGAGGGTTACAATCTATTTATATTTTACAATAAAACAATTGTTATTTTAACAATTATGCCTTCTTGAGCCTCAATTTAGCAATACTGGTTTTAAATCAATCATATAGAATTCCAAGCACCACCGAAGAGCTCGTCCTCACAGTCATGTGTGAAGGCTGAGGCCATATTTTGAGATAAAAAAAAAATGTTTTTCTGCTATTTTAACTACAATAATCTATATGTGACTATGAAATTTATGATTTAAATGACAAAGAAAACAAATGATAAATAAATATTCTAATATATATAATGAAAGTTGTTGTCCCCAGGAGTCGTGTCACTGGTGTTACAGCATAACAAAAACCTCTTATTTTGATATTAAAATCACACTGATGACATCGTTCGACTTCCTTTTACCTGTTTTCTGAGGATCTATGAAGAAAAGCTCATGGTGAGTCCACTGTGTCTTTCAGTTATCAGAGATTTTCTCATTTAGCTCATGATTTCATATGAAGCTTTTAGCTGAAGTCACTGGTGTGACCGTCTTTATTCTGAGGTAACTGTGAAAAAATAGAACACAAATGGATTAAATTACATATTTTAGTGGACATTCCATGATTGACAACATGTGGTTTGATGCTCTGTAGACAGATGCCCTACATGTTGAATTTTATGTAGCAGTGTTCATCTGTACTGTGTCTCTCACATAAATAAAAAAGATATTTTTATTTAGACCAAACAGGGGCAGATGCAATCATTAATTTCCCAATTTCTGTTTTTTTATACTGTTGCTTTCACTGCTATTGGTGCTTCATTATCCAGCTGTTGTTGGCCACAGCTACGCCGTACATAAGCAGAGTTTCCTTTTCTACAACTCTTTCTCCTCCCTCCCTCTCTTTGCTCATGCACCTAGCCCTGCCCTCTACAATAAGTGTCCTAGGCAAAATGAACCCTGTGAACATAGGCTGAGGAACGCGTAACCTAATACTCACATTCCTTGAACACCACAAAGCTATGAAGACAGTGTCTATTCTTTAAAAAAAATTGGAAAGCAATGGATCGGAATGTCTCCTTAACTATCTTTATTGGGTATCACTATTATTATTATTAATAAATAATAATAATAATAATAATAATAATAATAATAATAATATGCTGTGTTGTATTGTTTGATTGTCCTTTTTGATTGATGATCCGGTTGTGTCAGATTTTGCATACTTTGAAGGAATGTATCCCTCATATGCTCATGTTTGTATAACTGTATATTGGAACAATAGTGTATATTATTGTGCATATTGTGTATATGTTCATATATATATATATATATATATATATATATATATATATATTTCATTTTAATTTTCCACAGGTATGTAGTAGTTGTGCATTAAAGTGTACAGAAGTGTGTTCTCTGTAGAGGATCTCATTTGATTGGGGGCACACAAACCTTTGGATACTACTGTGCATGCCTACATCAATCAATCTACTTTTATTTTCCAGCTTGTATTTTCAGTTTTCTCAGTTTCCATGCCTACTGAACCCACAGAAAGTGTTATTATTATTATTATTATTATTATTATTATTATTATTATTGAGTCAGTGTCTCAGTGATTGCTGTGTGCTGTTTGCGTGTTTGTAGGTGTCAGTATCTGCGTGAGTTGGACCGTGTTGTAAATGCTCAGGCTTATCCTCTACTCCTCTATCCTGAACTCTACCTGCTGCAGGGAGGATACAAACGCTTCTACACCTGCTGCCCGGTAGCACACATACACACCGTTTATTTTTATACAATGGGATCATACATTTGTCCCATACGTATTATAAATATATGTAAATATCTATATGTAATAATTATATTCCCATATGTATTACACATATATGTAATAATAGTGTGTCCCTTATACATTATATATATATATATATATATATATATATATATATATATATGCTGTTGTCGGAAGAAAATCTCATATCCCCAAAATGACAACTTTACAGGAAAAGGGAAAAACCTACTTAATGTAAGTCAATTGAACCAAACTTTTTTTTGAAGTCATTTTGGGCCGTTTCTTTTTTGTATATTTAAGTACTACAAGAGGGCTTTGCGTCTAAGGTTTTCACTCATCTTCGCACCTGTGTAAATGTGATTTGTTTTGTACATTTGATAATACATTATATTGTTGAAATATTACAATAAAAAGAAGAAAAAAAACAAAGCCAACAAAAAAAAACTACACACTACAATACTTTCAGTACTTCAATACGTTTCACTTTTTTATTTCTAATTACGATCAATTCAATTTAAATGATCAGAATGAAAATTATAACAGTGTCAATAAGGTTCTAACACTTCGTGCTTGGACCCCTAGAAATGTTCAGCAAGAGGAAGTGACGCTCCTCGTATTAGGGACGCGGGTGACGTTCCAGTGACGTCACGAAGCCTGATCTTCGGTGCTCGCTGCGAAGCTGCTGGTCAAAGAAAACTCCAGACGGGCTCGTGCAGACAGTGACTGTCACCCCTCAGCTCCGCCGTGAGACCCTCTCTGCTGCAGCGTGGGTTCGTTTCTCCAGGCACAAATCGCTTTATTCTCCACCTTCTCGCTGGAATTTTCCGCTCCACCTTAAGTGGTGCTGCAGCTGCACTGGCGCTCGTACCGCTGCGCTGACTGCTCTGACCGCGATGCTGCGCCATTTAAGGTGGAGCGGAAAATTCCAACAAGAAGCCAACGACCGTGTTCTGTGTGTTTTCTCCCCAGTGTTCGTGACCCGAGATGGCGGCGTACAGGCTGGTGCTGATCCGCCACGGAGAGAGCAGCTGGAACTGCGAGAACCGGTTCTGCGGCTGGTTCGATGCTGATCTGAGCGAGACCGGAGTGGAGGAGGCCAAGAGAGGAGGAGAGGCGCTCAGAGGTAGCGGCTTCTCCGTCCTTGGGGCTGGATTAGAGGGAGGCTGTGACATTGGAGAGAGAGAGGGAGGGAGGGAGGGAAGTAGGGAGAGAGAGAATGAGGCAGCAGTGGAGAACGCAAAAGAGAAATGGCCACGACTTTGTAAGGCGCGAGTACGAGATAATTAAGTTGTGGCCACGACTTAGTAGGGCGTGAGAATGAGATAAGTAAGCCTTGACCACAGCTTAATGAGGCATGGTCTCGTTCCCATGCCTTACTAAGACGTGGCCATGACTTAGTTATCTCATTTCCATACCCTACTAAGTAGTGGCCACACATTAGGATCTTATTCCCACGCGTTAATACAGCATGGCCACACATTATTTACATGGGATGTCACCAGCAGAGTCCTAAAGATGGAAGAGAAGCAAGACAGCATGAAGGAAAGAATGAAAAACAAGAAAGAAAGTTAGTTTAATATAGTGGAGTACGGAGCCCTGCTGGTGACATCCCATATAAATAAAGATAATGTGTGGCCACACCTTATTAATGTGTGGGAACGAGATCCTAATGCATGCCTACGACTTACTAAGGCGTGTGAATGAGATCCTTATGCATGGCCACAACTTAGTAAAGCGTGGAAACTATATAAATAAGTCGTGGGAACGAGATAATTAAGTTGTGGCCATGACTTAGTAAGGCATGGAAACTAGATAACTAAGTCGACTTAGTAAGGCGTTCGGAATGAGATCATGCCTTGCTAAGTCGTGGCCATGACTTAGTAAGGCGTGGGAATGAGATCATGCCTTACTAAGTCATGGCCACGATTTAGAGTCTTGTTCCCATGACTTGCAAAGTCGTGGCCACGCATTATTTTTATTTATACAGGATGTCACCAGTGGGGACTCCGTAGAATTTTCTCAGAGAAAAAATAAAACAAAAAATATAAAATGTGCTGTAACTTTTGCACAGGTTGCATTTTATGTTCTACTTAAACTTTAAAGTTGGAATTTTGAAGTTAAACTTTGTAAATGAACTGAAATTGTGCAGAAAAATGTCAGATTTCTGTTCTCTGTAGACCAGTGGTCTCCAACCCTGGTCCTGGAGATCTGCCTTCGAGTTTAGTTCCAACCTGCATGTTACAGGCTGCCCCCTCCTTACCGAACACTAATACATCTGATCTGAAGTTCATCAGTGGAGCAGGTGTGGCGACTGTGGTTGGAGTTAGACACTGTGGGAAGGTAGATCTCCAGGACCAGGGTTGGAGGACCTGCTGACATATTTTTCACTTCACAAAACATGTAGAGAGAGGAAACGAGAGAGCGTAAGGGTCATTCTACAAAAACGTCCACTTTTCTATCTGTCCATAGGAGTCACTGGTGTTACTGATCGTCATCGGTGTTACACATAAGAAAGGAAACACCAGAGAAATTTTAATGAACAATGCATTTTACAAAATGAGCATCAAACCACATGATGTCAATCATGGAACATCCACTAAAATATGTAATTTAATCCATTTATATTCTATTTTTTCACAGTTAATTCAGAATAAAGTCGGTCACACCAGTGACTTCAGCTAAAAGCTTCATATGAAATCATGAGCTAAATGAGAAAATCTCTGATAACCGAAAGACACAGTGGACTCACAATGTGCTTTTCTTCATAGATCTTCAGAAAACAGGGAAAAGGAAGTGAAGTGATGTCATCAGTGTGATTTTAATATCAAAATAAGAGATTTTTGTTATGCAGTAACACCAGTGAAACGACTCCTGGGGACTTTCATTATATATTTTATAATATTTATTTGGCATTTGTTTTCTATATGTCATCTAATTCATATGTACCATAGTCATGTATAGATTATTGTAGTTAAAATAGCAGAAAAACATGTTTTTTACCTCAAATTATGGCCTCAGCCTTCACACATGACTGTGAGGACGAGCTCTTCTGTGGTGCTTGGAATTCTATATGATTGATTTAAAAACCAATATTGCTAAATTGAGGCTCTATAAGGTGTTACTGTTAAAATAACTTATTGTTTTATTTTAAAATATAAATAGATTGTAACCCAAACATGTTTTTCAAGTGTAATATATCTGGAAATGCTAGGGACGCAAAAATGGACGTTTCTGTAGAATGACCCATAAAGCAAATAAAAGTAGCAAACAAAAACATATTAAAGAAAGAAAAAGGGACTTTTCGAGAGAGAGAGAGAGAGTTTCGAGAGAGAGAGAGAGAGAGAGAGAGAGAGAGAGCACTGTGTTTGTGTGCATATGTATTAGGTGTGTAACAATATACATACAGAGAGTGGACAAAATAACAGAAACACCCCCATTTATTAGCTTTTCCTCTACCCTACATTCATCGTTTCTCGGTTTCTGACCACACTGTTGCTGTTGTCCAGATGTTATTTGGCTGCTGGATCTTTATCAGCAGTGATGCCGACATGGTATTTTTTCCACGATCAGTTGAGAGTTGTCCACCACCCAAGAGCGGCTCTGTGGTCAGAAACTGACCACAGATGAAGGTCTTAAGGATGGCTAACATGTTGTGCATCAAAAAGATGAAGCTACAAGTGGAGTTTCTGATGGATAATATGGCCAGTAAACATACACAGTGTGTAAAAACCAATACAGCAACACCGCTGTGCCTGATACACTCGTACTGCATGGAGGTGTGTTAGTGTGTGTTGCGCTGGTCTGAGTGGATCAGACACAGTAGTGCTGCTGGAGTTTTTAAACACCTCCGTGTCACTGCTGGACTGAGAATAGTCCACCAACCAAAAATATCCGGCCAACAGCGTCCCGTGGGCAGCGTCCTGTGACCACTGATGAAGGACTCGAGGATGACCAACACAAACTGTGCAGCAGCAGATGAGCTATCGTCTCTGACTTTACATCTACAAGGTGGACTGACAAGGTAGGAGTGTCTAATAGAGTGGACAGTGAGTGGACACAGTGTTTAAAAACTCCAGCAGCACTGCTGTGTCTGATCCACTCGTACCAGCACAACACACACTAACGCACCACCACCACATCAGTGTTACTGCAGTGCTGAGAACGATCCACCACCCAAATAGTACCTTCTCTGTGAGGATCCATGGGGGTCCTGACCACTGAAGAACAGGGTGAAAGGGGTCTAACAAAATACAATGAGTGTAGATACAAGGAGGTGGTTTTAGCGTTGTGGCTGATTGGTCTATGAATGAATGTACATATGTGTGGGTTCTTATGGCTGGATTGGAACCATAAGAGGTGGGTGCGTGGGTGGTGCTGCTGTATGTATGTTTGGGGGGTTTTAGGGGACAATTCTGAGTTTATATTTTGAATATACAGCGTTCTACACTGTTATATAGCTAACATTGGATTATTAGCACCAGTTAGCCATCATAAACGGGCCAGAAACCGGCGAGTCTCCTGGAAATTTCTGGAAATTCCGCGCTAGATGGCATGTTTAAGCACCTAAAAAGTCAGTTTATCACGTGTGTAGAATTCTGTGTTGAAGACTGTCCTTCATTTTAGCTGTAAATAACCTCTTTCTCCTCTCTCTGTCGTGTTGTTAGCGCCTCTTCTCTCCGGCTGGAGACTTGTGCAGTGCGTCATGGGAGTTGTAGTTTTTTGTGACGTCAGCTCCGCTTTAACTGCGTTCTAACGGTTCGCTTGCAAAACTACAAATCACAGCGCAGGCGATAAACGAACTCATAAGAAAACAGTGTATGCTAATAAAATAACAGCTTCTGTTTAGTCCTACTTTAGCACAAAAGTTTTAACAGATGATTAAAAAAACTTGAATTTATTGAGAGTTTTTGTTCCTACACCGCTGGCTGTTGTAGAAAGCTTTTGTCTGAAGAACACGTCATCAGGATAAACAGATCATTTTCAGTGTAAATGATTAAACTGCCCACAATCAGTAGTCCTTATTTTCAGAGCTGCCCACACAGGCTGTCATAATCATATGCTCGGTTAAATCCTCTTCTCATCAAAGTCCCACCGTTCAGTGTGCTGTGTGTACGAGGCGTGTGCTGAGGGATGTTGCTGCTCAGTGAAATCACTGTGTGGGATCAGCTCTTACATTGTGATTAGAGTCTGTCTTTAAGCCCCCGTAGGAGTTTATTCAGCAATTGTGTCTTTTCAGTCAAGAGTCTGTAATTTTCCAGTGGGATGCTGAATACAATCTCTGCTCTGACACTACAGACTGTCTCACATCCTGCATCACTGAGAATGGTTGAATATACCAGCCACATTCTCTCAGAATCAAGCCTGGAAGAGTTCATTTCTCTTCTTTTTCTTCTTTTCTTTCTTGTTTTTCCTTGCTATTTTTTTTTCTTCTTGCTTGCTTCTCTCTCTCTCTCTCTCTCTCTCTCTTCTCTCTCTCTCTCCTCTCCCTCTCCCTCTCCTGATAAATATGCCAGCACACCTGGTCAAATTCCATATTTTGTGAATTATCTTAGTGAAAATGAAGTTAACACAGACAACACACTTAAATATGCCTTTTTTAATATTATTTTTCATATTATTGTGTGTAAATTGAGTTTAACTTTCATTTTTTTTACTTTTCAAGTTTAAATACAACATAAAATATAGCCTGTGCAAAAGTTATGGCACATTTTATATTTTGTTTTACTTTCTTCTTCCCACTATGTTAAACTTTTTCTTTGGTTTTTCATTTCTTCCTTCTTGCTCTCTTACGTCTTTTTTCCTGCCTTTATTCCTCTCTCTTTCTTTCATGCTTCGTTTTCTGCCTTGCTTGTATTTCTCTCTGTATTTCTCTTTTGCGTTTTCACTTGCTACTTCATTCTCTCTCTTCTTCTCTCTTCTTTCTCTCTCTCTCTTTCCCCCCACCTGTCCCTCTTTTTCTTGCTTCTCTTTTTATTTCTCTGTTTGTTCCTTGCTTGCCTCTTTCTATCAGACCTGAAAAAAAGAGCCTAAATACACTTGAAGCACTGAGCCTGAGAGAGTGTCTGAAAACAGACGAAAGAAAACAAAATGTGAGTAAACAGAAAATCTCAGCGCACTGAGATCCTGAACCAGGAGCTCAAAGAGGGAAGTCAGCCTGGGAACAGAATCAGGATTATGACAAAAGATGGAAAGGAAAGAGCTGAATGTAATCTTGATATAAAACCATTTGTAATGGTAATGCATGGTGTAAGACTTTCCACTGGAGGTCTCCAGAGCTGTGGAGGAGAGGGGCTTTGTGGAGGAGCCTCTGTGAAGGCTGTAGGCCTTAAGGAACAAAAACACTAAACACAGCTGTCACTCTCCTCTTTTCTCTTCCCAGAGGCCGGTTATGAGTTTGATGTGTGCTACACGTCAGTGCTGAAGCGGGCCATTAGGACTCTGTGGCTGGTTCTGGACAGTATTGATCAGATGTGGCTTCCTGTGCACCGTTCGTGGCGTCTGAACGAGCGTCACTACGGCGGCCTGACGGGGCTGAACAAGGCCGAGACGGCAGCCAAGCATGGAGAGGAGCAGGTGAAGATCTGGAGGCGCTCGTATGACATCCCACCACCACCCATGGAGTCTGACCACGACTTCTACTCCACCATCAGCCAGGTGAGCCAACGGAGCTGATCTCGGATCAGGTTTAGCCAAAAAACTAGTCGATTTCCATGTGAAAATCTGAGGGGGGCTGATCCTCGAACCTTATCCTCACCTCCAGTAAGTTTATGTACAGTAAAAATGGAAAATTTGATCTAGGGCTACAACCATTATTTAATCGGTGGACTGTTATTCGATTAGTCATGCTCTCTGTAGTTCCTCTTTGTTTACTAAGTCATATCGCCTCCTGCACCTCCTGTAGTGTATTACAGTCTGTCAGAATGACTGTGTGGATCATATGAACGTTATAGAGGCTTTTTAAATGAAACAGTAGAAGCCATATCGCCCCCTACGCTTCCTGTAGTGTATTACAGTCTGTCAGAGTGACTGTGTGGATCATATGAACATTATAGAGGCTTTTTAAATGAAACAGTAGAAGCCATATCGCCCCCTACGCTTCCTGTAGTGTATTACAGTCTGCCAGAGTGACTGTGTGGATCATATGAACATTATAGAGCACTTTTTAAATAAAACATGAAGAGAAATGAATGAATAACCCAAATAAAGTAGAACGATCACTAAATCATCTGTAGAAACAATATAAAATGATAACCGTAAAACATTTAAAAAGTCATCCTAAATAGTTATTCTAAATAGTTGCAAAGCAACCGATCACATAAACAACATGCAGATTCATGTAGCTTACAGAGAGCCTTCAGTCCGACGGCCACAGCTGCCCAGCAAAACACCAAAATAACCACTGTTTGGTTTAATTCCTGCTCTGTGTTTACTGGGAATAAACGGCGTTTGGTGAAGCTACTCACAGTGAGCCTGAGGACCATGACTGCCGTGTTACTTCAGCAGAGGATAATGTATATGTAAATAGACTGTGTCGGATATTGGATGACGCAACTGCGCGGGCAGGAGTGGGACAAAACGTTACGGTTGTGGGTGGGAGCGGGACAAATTATTTCCATTTTCTGTGGGAGTGGGATAAAATCTTGAGGGAGAGGGCGGAAGTGGGACTGACCGTCCCGCGCAGACGTCTAGCCTTGAGCCTAAAAACAGCACGTTGGTGTTTTTCTGAAGTCGCCCATGTTGATGACTAATCAGCTTTGCTGACTAATCGTTGCAGCCCTGCTGTGAGTACATTTCTATCCCTGTGATCGTTGTAGATTTTGAAGGATGTCTTATTCGAGGCCTGTCTTTACAGGATCGTCGCTATGCCGACCTGACGGAGGACCAGCTGCCGTCGTGCGAGAGCCTGAAGGACACAATCGCCCGTGCTCTGCCCTTCTGGAACGAGGAGATTGTCCCCCAGATCAAAGATGGAAAGAGGGTGCTCATCGCCGCCCACGGCAACAGTCTCCGTGGTATCGTCAAGCACCTGGAGGGTGAGGACCCGTCCCACATTACCTCCTGAGCCCTTAAATCCGTTATCTCCATCTCTGCATCTTGAGAGCTTCAAACTGCAGTTTCCTCCGATTCCTCCACCCGTTTCTCTGCGTATCCTGCTTCTCTGCGTTCCTAACGTGAACACACTACTCGCAAAAAAAGTAGCTGGTACACTACAGAAGTATTTGATTTGAGACAAAGCTTCAAGGGCTGGGTTCTTTGCTCAGATTTGAGCTTTCCAACTTAGTGGTTTATTAGGCACTTTTTCCACTGCATGGTACTGACTCGACTCGACTTGACTTGACTCAACTCTACTTGCTTTTTTTGGTTTTCCATTAGGCAAAAGTTGGTAACTGGTATCTGATACCCGGTACTTTTTGGTACCATCTCCGACGAGGTTCCAGGTCAGGTGAGCTGAGCTGATACCAAAAGGTGACGTAAAAACGCTACGGTCTACTGGTTGGTTGGAGAGAATTGCTAAACTCATATGCTAATGTTAGCTACCAGGTTAGCATAGCCTCTTGCGTCGCCCTTTTTGAGCAACTAGAATCGTCTTGTCTGTTTTTTCCACCAAAAGCGAGTCGAGTCGAGTCGAGCCGCGTCGCGTCAGTACTCGTTTTCCATTTTTCAAAGAAATCTGCATGGATATTTTTGCACACCTCCAAAGTTCAGTCTTAGAAGTTGGTTTGCTTTTTCTGCTTCTCACAATCCAAATAATCCAAACACATTCAGTGATGTTGAGGCCTGGTGGCTATACACACACACACACACACACACACACACACACACACACACACACATATATATATATATATATATGGTGGTTTTGACTTGCAATAATAATAAGAGAATGCAGATTTTGAGGTTATGAGCTGCTACATGTAGAATCTCAGTCTTGTGTTTGTGTGTTTTTCAGGTATGTCTGAGGAGGCCATCATGGAGCTGAACTTGCCCACTGGAATCCCCATCCTGTACGAGCTGGACAAGAACCTGAAGCCAGTCAAGCCAATGCAGTTCCTCGGTGACGAGGAGACTGTCCGCAAGGCCATGGAGGCTGTCGCTGCTCAGGGCAAGGCCAAGAAGTAGAGAGTGAAGAGGAAAGTGAGAAGGAGTGAGGCTGGGGGAGGAGAAGGGAAGAAGGCACTGGAGAAATAGATTCATCTGGCCCTGGGTATTACAGTATAACATATGCTGAATAGTGTACACAATGCTGTCTTGCTGGCTGCAATCACTGAAGAAACATTCTGTGTTTTAAAATGGGCCCAATAACTGACTTAGGATAAATTATTGATCAGTTCCAGCCTGCATTCCAGAGCACTCCATACGGACCATATAGACAAATCAGTCTCTCTCAGGCATAGAGCACACACACCCAACAAACACACCAAACCAACACTGATGTTCTAAAGCTGGCAGTTTGGGGAGAACATTCTACAACTGTGTGAATGGTGGGAAAATAATCTAGAACATTGTGAATGGGGGGGAGGGGTACAACAACTCTAGAACAGTGTGATTGGGGGGTAAAATATTTTAGAACAGTGTGAATGTGGGGAGAACATAATATTCTAGAACGGTTGGAATGGGAGAGCATTCTGCACAGTGTGAATGGTGGGAGAATATTCTAGAACAGTGTGAATGGTAGAGTAATTCTAAAACAGTGTGAACTGTGAGGGGTAAAACATTACAGAACAGTGAGAATGTGGGGAGAACATAATATTCTAGAACGGTTTGAATGGGAGAGCATTCTAGAACATTGTAAATGAGGACATTCCTGAACAGTGTGAAGGCTTCTGACGTGTATGTTGGCTCTAGAACATTTTGGACCTCCCCCCAAGCCCTGAGAACCAGTTTGAGAACCAATATTCTAGAGTCTCCAAATGAACAATCACGTACAGGTGTGGCACACAAACCAAACGTTCTAGTTTGCTGGTGTTTGTTGGCTCTAGAACATTTTGGAACCACCCCCCCCCCAGCCCTGAGAACCAATGTTCTAGTGTCTCCAAACAAACAATCACAGGTATGGCACACAAACCAGACGTTTTAGTTTGCTGATGCTTGTTGGCTCTAGAACATTTTGGAACCACAGCCCTGAGAACCAATGTTCTAGTGTCTCCAAACAAACAATCACAGGTATGGCACACAAACCAGACGTTTTAGTTTGCTGATGCTTGTTGGCTCTAGAACATTTTGGAACCACCCCCCAAGCCCTGAGAACCAATGTTCTAGAGTCTCCAATCGAACAATCACATACAGTATGGCACACAAACCAGACGTTCTAGTTTGCTGGTGTTTGTTGGCTCACTGTGCTCTGGCCTTTATGAATATTCCATGTTTTCCATGCTCCTTGTGTAAATGCACAGCATTAGACGCTCATGAAGATTTAAGAAGCATTTCAAACGTTACTGTAACCTCGAGCACTGAAGGCACCGTCACTTAGAAACCGCACATTTCAAAGGAAGGTACTTGGCTTTGCTCTGTAGTGGCAACTCTGCAGTAACTGTATCCAGGCAACGGCGTTTACTGGCGACAGGGCAGCGAATGAATTAGATTTTTTTTTTTTTTTTTTTTTCTTTTAACAGAAAAGAGACTAAATGTGTTGCGTTCCAAATCGCTACATGAGTCACGCTAAGCCTGGACGCCCACAGCACGGCACTTAAAATACACCACCAAAAAACAAAAAAATCATATATGCCATTTCAGAGCAACCTGCATTTTAGTTCTCCACTCGAGCTGAGGAAGAATTAGCATGATGGGTTATTAGAGATATCTGAGGGTTCTTCCTAACGTACTGAGCCAGTTTAGTCTTAGAAGCAGCTCTTATAGAAGGTTGTTTTTTTCTCTTTCTGCTTCTAAACTGTGTGTTAAATATGATAAGTAGATTAACTGTGTTGCTCACAGTGTTGCTTGGGCCCCATTTCTGAACCCTCGAGTACACTTGTTTAAATGTCGTCTTCCTGAGATGTTACAGAAAAATAAACATATATATATATATATATATATATATATATATTATATATATATATAATAATAATATATATATATTTGCTCACTATTGGAAATGTTACATCCCTAAGCTTATTAGTTATGCTTAGTATATTCTAATATATTTTGGCTTGACTGAATGGCACTGTCCTGTATGAACCTACACTGAAGTTTGTGTGCAATCACTAATAAATGTTGGCTAAGCAGAAAGATTCTCAGTGTGGCACTTTTTTAGTTGCAAACGACGAAATAAATCACTGCTGTTGATGTTTATATGGTTTTATGTACCAAAAGCAGTCATATTTTATTTTTACCTGACCATTTTCTATCTTCTCTTTATTAATTAGAATTAAACAGGCTGTTACTGTACTGTTGTTACTGTGCCTTGAAGACTGACCTATGTAAATGACCTCTGTTCTGATTGGCTGCCCTATTCTGGGCTTCATTCAGAAAGCAGTCTTGTTTTCAATTTTCAAGTTGATTTGTCATTTGCACAACATGTCAGGACATTCATGCACTGAAATGCTTGTGAGGCTCAGGTAATCACACTACAGCAGGACAGCATTATATACATACTATATACATATGTTTTTGGGCTGGAACAGTGGGTGCGCCCCAGTATTCGCCCGGTACGGAGCCCATAAGGGGCTGTGGTTTACAAAAAAAACGGTAATGACATTGTGTTCCCCAGCAAACGTTTTGCGAATGCAATTAATTTTGCAAGAGAACGCAAAAATATTGCAAAAGAGTGCAAAACCACTGTAAAAGAATGCAGTGTCATTGCAAAAAAAATCTTTGCCATCGCATTTCAGGGGGTCTGTAGCCTGATCAGTAATCAGCTTAATCAGTAATCAGATAGATTAGATAGTGTAATAAATTAAATAGGCAGTATTGGCTAACAGAGAATATTAATTCTCTCACAAAGGGTCGGCCTTAGTCTGTCTGCATAGGAGATTCTAGACACTGGAAAGCCCCTGGGTTCACAGACCGGCGTGTGTGTACCTACTGACCCAGTGCAGAGAGGGGCAAGATGACCATGAAAGGTAAAGCAGGCTGGTAAAAACCGGTTCAAACCAGTTTTTAGGAGTGAGCTCAACATGCGATGGCCAAATTGATGGACGAAGAGATGCACCTATTAGAGAATGAGCTAATATCAAAATTTGAGAAGTAAGGTGGGGGGATATCAAACTACCCCACATAAATGGTATAATCTGTTGTATGGAACACATACAGTTGGGTCTCTCGAGACTCTGTGCCACCTGATGCTGAAATAAAGAAGAAGCCTTTTTCCCTCTTCCACAAACTCAGCGTCTGAATACTCTTTCCTTTTTGACATCTTTTGAGAACGTAGACTTAAAACAGTTATTAGTTTAAGTGTTTAGCTGGTATTAAAATATTTCATTTTTACTCAAAATATTATGTCAGAGGCCAGGGGTTGAAGGGGATAGCCCTTGGTTCTAAGCCCCGCACGTGTGCCATCATAACGAAAATAATTGCGCTGTCGCAAGTTGACACATTAAACTCGCATGCACAGAAATTTTGCCAATGCGCAGTGTACATACTAATAAACTTGCATAAAAATGTGTCGCTCATCTGTGTAGCTGTGCGGCTAAACATGCTGTGTTTAAGACCACTTAAATTACTTCTATAAAGTTCTGTTTACATTCTGAATTTGCAACTGATGAGAAGCATTTTAGTCTGAGAATTGCTGTAAATTTACTTTATCTGTCATCAGTCACTCAGGGCGGTGCAACAAATTCAGCAGCACAGTGGAAGCAGACAGAAGAGCACATTTATAAACATGAATTTTTGATAAGCTCACTGCTTTGCTCATTCAAAAGCAAAGGGAAATCTTGGTCGCCACTGTGGGTTAAGCATACATATACATACCTAGATGGTGCGTTGGGTCCAGCTAAGCATGTCAACGGCACCGCCATTTTAGGGCGGTCAACACCTCAGCTGGACTGCATTCAATACAATTACAGAGCGACAGTTTAAGAAAGATACTGTCCAGAATTACGCTATTTCAAGAATATAGCACTTAGAAAGCGGGATAGGATGTTTGTGATATGCGTATTAATATTAATAATGTTATTAATAAACAATATTGTTTGTGTGATGTTTGTGTAGATATGGCCGTGTGGTTGGTGAGGCACAGAGAACCTGTTAAAGTGATTGTTTTTTGTCTGGTTTTATATTAAGCTTATTTCATTTAATAGTCTATTCGGGGGTTCTTAACTTTATGTAGTAGTTATTTATTTACATAATGCTTCGTAGCTTGGTAAGTTATAGCATTAATCTGTGTAGATATTCATAATAGATTAACGTAAGCACCTTCTTACTCAAAGCTTCTTATTCGCCAGCTTCTTGTTCGAATTTTCCCGTTCCACCTTAAGTGGTGCAGCTTCAGGCACCAGACAGTGACTGCTGCACCATTTAAGGTGGAACAGGAAAACTCGAGCAAAAAGCTGGCGAATAGGAAGCCAACGTAGCTTCGTCCTTAAAGATTAGAAGTGATTCACACATTGATGGATTTGCTGATTGTGTTTCTAGCAGAGCGCTAAACTCACGTCAGGTGCAGACTGAATACTTTCCCGCTGGTCCAAACCACTAATTAGCACAATCAGTTATTAACAGTTATCAGTCTGTGTCTGAGGATTATAACAGAACAGATCGGTCGGTTGAGTATTTAGGAAGTTGAGGCCGATTAAATCCTGAGGCTCATCACCTCTCAGTACAAGCGAATCTGTTCACAAGCGGACCTTGACCTCTCCAACATGGCGGACGCGCAGACGTATTGCCTCAGATAGCAAAGTAAAAGAATATACAGTAGTGAGACTCTTCACTGAGTGAGAAGACGCTGAGCCGCCAGTTTGTTAGGAGATTTGCTCATTCGCCATTTAATCTTGTAGACCAACTAAATGCTGGCCTGTCAGATCTGAAGTTAAGACAAAAAGATTGGAAGTTTCTGTGATATGGCCCCAAATAGCTAACTTAGGCTAAACGTGAAGACATAATGATAGTACACTGCTGGGCAAAAAAATGGGCCGAAAAAAAAAAAGCCAAAAATGGGAAAACGTAAAGATTTTATTGGTCTTAACAACAAAGCATTAATCAAACAGATAAAGTAACAATATGGGGTAGAATTTCCCTTCGATCTCTTTAAATGTTAAAGCTTTGTGTGTAAATTTGTAGACAACCTTATACAACCGTATACATTATTCTCTATAGGGTTTAAATCTGCACTCTGACCTACCCAAAACTGCCAGAAAAACCATTATATTTGATTTTGTGCCCAGGAGTGAACTGTTTATATGGTCTCAACATGTTTCAGTGTCACCTTTTAACTTCCACAGCACTACAAGTTGACCCTGCGAGAGTTTAACTGTTGGCTGAACCGGTTGTGCCTTGTGGGCGTGGTTACTGATCCATTTACCAGCAGCCCATCATCCGGCGTATTTTGCCACTGGAAAACTCGGCTCGGTCAGCGACGCTGTGTCATATCATAACAAGAGCAATGCGGGAATGTTGGCAATCCTGGCAAAGAAAGCCAAAATTTCTATGTACTAATTTCAGAATCCACAAGTGGCAGTTCATCCTCAATAAGGACAGCTACGACACTTTCTAGCGACGTTTTTACTTTTATTTTATTTTTATTTTAACTGTTACATAAACAGAACAATTTAAATAAAAATTGGTACAAGCGCCACCAGCACTCCCTTTAAATGGGTTTCCCGACTTTGCGCTTACATAAACAGTGGCGAACCAGTACAGGTAAATGGAGCACAATACCTCATTATAACTACAGCTGGCATTATAAATAGTTATAGTTTGGCAAGACTCAACTAATGTGGGCCAAATATATGGATGTATGTAAATGCATTGGTTTTTTGTGACAACATAAAAACACTGAGTTAAAAAATAGGCTTTTTAACAGATTAATTTCTGAGCGAACGGATTGATTTGATCTGTGTTTACACACTGAAACTCCTTCATTTCACAAAAAAGCCAGCTAAATTGTTCTTTTCCATGATATGGGCCCTTCAATGGGCCCTCAGCCGTTCACCGGTGAGGTCACGACTCGTTTTTCCACAACAAAGATGGCTCCCCGAACCGACCACACTGCTTCCGTGTCATTGACCAATCACAGAGCCCTCCCGCTGTTACTACCAGCCAATCAGCGCTCGCTCTTCTCTTCTTGAAAACATGTCGCCCATGAAGCTGTGTGTTCCAGGTAGGCGAGCGTCTCTAACACGTTTTAGAAACTTTTTTCGTACTAAATTAACAGATAAAACCTTTGGATAAGAGTGTTTACTAGCCGATATGCTGTCCGTGGCTGCTTCTGTGGGGGTGTTTGTGTGTTCTTCTACTTTTTTAACACGGAAAACGGAGTGAAAACGTGCTCATGCTTTGCTTACGAAGCCTATTTTTCGAACTCTCCGTTCCACCTTAAGTGGTGCAGTTCATTCTGGCGCGTGTAGAGGCACCAGCATGGAACTGCTGCACGATTTAAGGTGGAACGGGGAATTCGAATAAGAAGCCTGTGCAGGAACAGTGACTGTGCTGTTTTTTTTCTGTTAACATTTCTTAGAGAGTGGAACGTTTTGATAACTAACCTTAACAGATAATAATAATAGTAATAGTGGTAATTACTGAGTATCTGGGCTGCTTGTTGTTGACTGACCTTTACCTGCTAACTCGTTTGGTGAGCCCTGCCCACCTCACCGCCTCAGGCCAGCAGCTGCCACACATTCCACTTTCCCTCGTGTTTCCGCCTTTAAAGATCTGCTGGATGTGCCTTAACATGACCAGGAGCTTCACGCGGCACCTGTTCACAATGCTCGTGGTGTTCATGATGACAGAACTGACCACAGAAAGTGAAGGTGCTCTTCAGGGACATTCCCAGAGTAGCACCTCTATGAAAAATTCCTAGAAGAGTCTGACAGTAAACTGTAGGGCTGTATCAGTACACACATTTTCATAGTTATGCACAGTTTCTGATACTGAGGGTAATATTTGAGTAGATTTGTTATATTTAATGTGTTAAAAATTGCTTCAAAAGGTTCCAGTGCAGCATATCACTGCTGTCGGGAACAAAACTCTGTATCTCCATTTTTGACATTTTTTAGTTTTTGACATCATTTGAAAATGCCTGTGGTCCTTTATAGTATATTGTGTGTGACTTTCATGACGAATGGACCAAAAGAAATGGCCCAAAATGACTTTTTGTGGTTGGTGTAGTGTAGTGGGTAACACCTCTGCCTTCTGTGCTGTAGACTGGGGTTCAACCCCCAGTAAACATCCTACACTATACCAATAAGAGTCCTTGGGCAAGACTCCCAACACTACCTCCACCTACCTGTGTAAAATGATCAAACTGTAAGTCGCTCTGGATAAGAGCGTCTGCCAAATGCTGTAAATGTAAATGACTTGGGGGAAAAATTCTGGTTCCATTGACTTACATAAAAAGTAAAGTAAGTTTTTTGCTTCTCCTGTTCAGTTATCGTTTTGGAAATACAAGGTTTTGTTCTGACAGCAACGTTGTTTTTGTCCAAAATGTCCAAAAACACACACTTACAGGCGGTTCTTTAAGGGTTCTGCAGTGAAAGCAATGAAATGCGTTCTATATCAAAGCATTTCATGCTTAAATTGTTCTTAGCATGGTGGAACGGTTCTTTAGATCGAACTTCATGTTGTAACGATGCCATTTTTTGTGCTACGTAGAACCATTTTCAAAAAGGTTCTATATAGAACCTTATATGACACATTCTCCATCAATCTAAAGAACAGGTTCACCCTGCAGAGAACCATTTCAGCATGCAAATATATAGAACTCATGGTTCTAAATTCAACCATTGCCTTGATTAAAGGTCCCTTAAGAGTGCAGGTTCTATAGACTTCCAGTATATTTGGTTTATGATATTTTATGTGTTAAAAAAACAAAGATTCCAGTCCACACTCTCAACACAAAGGGTTCTTCGTAGTAGTACCAAAAAAAGTAGTGCTCGCCACTTGGGGTGGGCAATGTGACGATACTTCATTGTTATCATGATACGCTGCGCAGCAATATGCTTTTCTAACATCATCAGCAACAACCGACTGCATGTTTCATCATAAGGAGAGCACAGTTAGTCCTGTAATCGTATTTGGTACATCAGAGGTCGTGAAACATTGAAGAAAAATCACTAGTTTTAAAGTTTTATAGTACGTATCACAATATTTAGTGTTTCAGGCTTCAGGAAAACGAAATATTGTGATACATATTGTGTGTTGAGAAGATGCCTTAAAGTATCATGGTGTTATTTTTTTTCATATCGCCCACCCTCACGCTCCCCTGTGGAACTGAAATGTGAGGGTTTATGGAAGGTTTTATATGTATATGGTATAACATTAGAGTTTTTTAGGGTTTTTTGTACTGTTACAGCTGAACTGCACTGTTGTCCACAGTGGGAATCAGACAAGCATATCGCTCCTGTCGAAACAAAACCTTGTATCTCCAAAATGGTAACTTTACAGGAGAAGGAAAAAACATACTTTACTCTTAATGCAAGTCAATGGAACCAGACATCTTTCCAAGTCATTTTGGGCCGTTTCTTTTGGTCCATTCATCATGGAACTAACACACAATGTAAAGGGCAACAGGCATTTTCAGATTATGTCAAAAACTGACAGCAGCGATATGCTGCACTCTTGATAAAGATGGTTCTTCAAGGGTTCTTTAGCAAAGAAGATGGTTCTATATAATCATGAACGTTCAAAGAGTCCTTTGCATGATTAAAGCGTTCTTTGTATCATGAAAGTGTCTTTGAGATTGATGAAGAATGTGTTGTAGATGGTTCTGTATAGCACCAAAAAGGGTTCCAGGCTAAAGAACCCTTTTTGCTAAGAGCGTACCTCTTGCCTTGTGTCCACCTGTGTTGCACAGTTTCACACATTAATTCTTTCAGTATTCGATACTGTATTGAAGTCCCTTCACCCTCACAGACCTGTGCAGTGCAGGTGGAGCGCAAGACTGCAGGTGTGAAAGCGTAAGAAAATGATGGTGCGGGACCCAGTTTGATTATGGCTGTGTGAGATGTTGATGGCTGCTCCTGCAGGTGAAAGGCTGTGCAGTACGGAGGACTGCATTCCCGGAGCAGGAACGTATCTGCGGCACGGCTACATCTTCGCCTCGCTCGCAGGTTACGTGCTCAGGAGGAACGAAGGGGAGGAGGTGAGCAACCTGCAGGGACACACAGCGGTTGCGCAATCGAGGCGCACGCATAAGATTGCGCAATGAAGATATATGCAAAATAGCATTGCAGTCCGCAAGTTTGGTCATGCTACTAGATGCCTGTTTTTATTTCTTTCAGAGGACCTGTGTGTTGTACTGGGTGTCTGTAACAAGTCTGTTTGTCCTCGTGTTTGCAGCTTCCTGTGATTTCAGTCGTCAAAGAGACAGAAGCGCAACTTTTGCCTGACGTCGGCGCCATCGTCACCTGCAAGGTGAGCACGAGATTTGCTGCTGTGTGAAAAGACAACACTGTACTGTGATCGATGTTGCGACTTATTGGAGTTGCGATAAAAAAGTGTTGGGGAACGTCTAGATGGGACATGGTTCCGAGCTTGGCCTGCATTATTTAAAAAAAAAAGTTTTAATTGCCTTTATTTATCAAGTCATTGTCATGATGCACAATACATTTCAAGATATTTTGTTTTTCAGAGGTTTGATAAGTTGGTACGGATACAAAGGGGCCAGTTATGGCACAATTAAAAAATACTATCTCAGAAAAGTATTGTGACATAATGTGACAGTTTATCACAATAACGAGAAATATTGTCACATTGTCCACCCCTAGAATATACCAAGTGCATATTGGGGAGCAGTTGAAGAGTCAAGGTTCCAAGCTTGTCCTGCATTATTCTTACCAAATTTTTTTTCGCTTTTAAAATAAAGTTATGCTTTATTAGTCCCACAACGGGCAAATTCACCTCCGCATTTAACCCATCTGTGCAGTGAAACACCCACATTGACACTAGTGAGCACACACACTAGGGGGCAGTGAGCACAGGGCTAGCTCAGGGCATCGAACCGGCGACCTTCCGGTCACAAGGCTGGTTCCCTAACCTCCAGCCCACGATAATTTTGGTATCACATTTATCAAAAACATTGGGTCGCTCATTAAAAGGTCTTATTTACTTATTGTCAGTGTAGTGAAACAATGTATTGTGCAGCTTTCGCTTGCATTTATTGATCTATTGTTGTTGGAACAAAACCTTGTATCTCCAAAATGGTAACTTTACAGGAGAAGGAAAAACATACTTTACTTTTAATGTAAGTCAATGGAACCAGATGTTTTTCCAAGTCATTTTGAGTTGGTTCTTTTGGTCCATTCATCATGGAATTTACACACAATGTAAAGAGCAACAGGCATTTTTTGTTCCAACAACATATATATATTGTGGCTGAAATGAAAAACTATTTCCACGTCTGTTGTAAACATGCCCACTCGCATGCCACAGCACTGTTGCAGTAGTGTATAGTAGAGTGAGAGTTTCTGTCTTTAGAACTTTTTGAGGGGTTTTGAGAGCTGAGAGTAAAGGTAGAATAAAGACACCTGGCTAATGTTCCTTCTAGGAAGTAGAGCAGACAGATTCATTGTTTTTTTTTTTATCAAAATCACAATTTGAAGCAAATTGAATAAGTTCGATTTTCAAATAGCACAAGCTGCAGTTTTCATTCTAGAACTCATTATAGAATAGAGATGTAACCTAATACCACAGAGCTTGTGAACAGCTTGTAGGCGAGTTAGACTAAACAACCAAACACCCTGTGCTGTGACTTACAAATAACAGAAATGACTCGTCAGATAAGGACAACAACAACCTACAAGCTGAATTTGTAAAGCAGCTTTGCTGTCTAGGTGCCTCACTTCAGTTTGGCCTCTTTTGTTTTGCTGACAGTTAAATTGTATGGTATCCAGTTTTTGCTCAATAAACAAAGAATCACTGTTTTCTTTGTGTTTTTGTTTGACGACTGAGGTCAGAGATGCTGGCTTGGTTATATATATTAGCCTATATGTCAGTGACTAGGCTATGGTTGACTCTACAAGATGCCAATGGTTATGTTATATCTGCATAATGCAACATTAACTTAATTGCTTTCTGTCTTTTTCACAATAATCAGTTCTTTGCGTTAACCTTCCCAGGTGACGAGCATTAATCCACGTTTTGCAAAAGTGCACATCCTCTATGTGGGCTCCACGCCTCTTAAAGACAGGTTCAGAGGCACCATCAGGTATGTATGCATGCACATGCACACAGTGCCCAGGGGCGTTTAAACCTGTAGAGTAAACCACATGTTGTACTACATGATGTGCTATGCAAAGCGTCTAGCATCTGATGTATGGGAGCATGGGTGGAGCAGAGCGCTGCAGGAGAAAGTTCAGCCCTCAGTTATATAAAGCTTTTACCAAGCCTCGTGTTGGGAGCGGACCTGTTTTTAGTCGAGTCAAAAAGAACTTCCGCAAGCATACAAGCCCAAACTCCAAAGCAGTTGGTACATAACAGTGTGATTAAACAACACAGTGCAGTACAATACATTACATTATAATGCAGTAGGTACATAACAGTGTAATTAAACAACACAGTGCAGTACAATACACTACATTATAATGCAGTTGGTACATAACAGTGTAATTAAACAACACAGTGCAGTACAATACACTACATTATAATGCAGTTGGTACATAACAGTGCAATTAATACAGTGCAGTACAATGCACTACATTATAATGCAGTTGGTACATAACAGTGTAATTAAACAATACAGTGCAGTACAATATACTACATTACAATGCAGTAGGTGCATAACACTGCAATTAAACAAACAGTGCAGTACAATACACTAAACTGTACAGTACAGTAGGCAGGTGGCAGTCTACTAAAACAACACTGCAGTACAATCAGGATAGATATTTAGACTTTTTAGGAGGCAGTTTGTGTGTTTATTGACTAAAGGTATTTTTCTCCTGCACCTACAAAAACAAGAACTCATGCAAATAAGAACCACTGGTACTTAGGGTTCTGGTTCTTGTTCATTTTCCACCTGTATTCAACTTTGGGCTTAAGTTATCTCTTAACTGAGAAATCCTGTTTTGTGAAATACCACCTCTCCCTCTTTTAAGGGTTAAAAACATGCAGAACCAGGCCCAGCAATACATAAATCCATATGACAAGAAACTACAGATACAAAGGCTCAGAACAGGTGTGAAGTAAAAGCACACTGTTTGAAATAGTCAGATTGTTTTTGTTTGTTTGTTCAAGCTAACCAGGAGGATTCGGTGTGTTTAATACAACAGCTTGTGTAGTTCAGATTTGTTGTTTAATAACAGCTTCTAAGGTATTCCAGAGAAGCCACAAATATTCAGCAGGTCTTGCCAAGACGCTTGAAAGGCTTTCACTTTTTCACTCTTGTATTTGTTTAAACAGGAAAGAAGATGTGAGAGCGACAGAGAAAGACAAGGTGAGGCCGGGAGCAGCCCCAAACGCTAAAAATGCTAGCATAAAAGCTGCTAAGGGCGTTTTAACATGGTTTTTCTTTTACAAACCCATTTCCAAAAAAGTTGGGATGCTGTGCAAAACGTAAATAAAAATAGGATGCAATGATATACGAATCATGTACAAACACATTTTTAAAGGAAAATATTACAAAGACAACATATCAAATATTGAAAATGAGAAATTTTATTGTTTTTTGAAAAATATTTGCCCGTTTTGAATTTGATGCCAACAACATGTTTCAAAAAAGTTGGGATGGGGGCCTGTTTACCACTGTGTTTCATCACTCTTCTTTTAACAACACTCTGTAAGTGTTTGGGAACTGAGGAGACACTGCTGTAGTTCTGAACGTGAACTGTTTCCTGTTCTTTTTTGATACAGGATTTCAGCTGCTCATCAGTTCAGGGACTCCTTTGTCGTGTTTTTCATTTCATAATGCGCCACATTTTCAGCAGTGACAGGTCTGGACTGCAGGCAGGCCAGTTTAGCACCCGGACTCTTTTAATACAGAGCATTGCTGTTGTAATACATGCAGAATGTGGTTTTACATTGTCTTGCTGACATAATCAAGGCCTTCCCTGAAAAAGACGTCGTCTGGATGGCAGCAAATGTGCCAAAACATGTATATATCATTCAGCATTAAAGGTGCCTTCACAGATGTGCACATCACCCATGCCATGTGCACTAATGCCCCCCTATACCATCATGAATACTGGCTTTTGAACTGTGCAACTGATAACAAGCTGAGTGGTCTTTAGCCCAGAGGACACAGTGTCCATGATTTCTAAAAAGACTTTCAAATGTTGATTTGTGGACCACAGGACACTTTTCCACTTCCCCTCAGTCCATTTTAAATGAGCTCGGGTCCAGAAAAGGCGGCAGCGTTTCTGGATCCTGTTTATGTACAGTTTCTTCTTTGTGTTTTAGAGTTTTAACTTGCATTTGTGGATGCAGTGATGAACTGTTTTCACAGACAGTGGTTTTCAGAAGTGTTTCTGAGCCCATGCAGTGATTTCCACTACAGAATCATGTCTGTTTTTAATGCAGTGCTGCCTGAGGGCCCAAAGATCACAGCCAGCAAATACTGGTTTTTGGCCTTGTCCCTTACATACAGAGATTTCTCCAGATTCTCTGAATCTTTTAATGATATTATGTACCATAGATGATGAAAAGCAAAAGTTCTTTGCTATTTTATGTTGAGAAACGTTATTCTTGAATTGTTGCACTATTTGATCGTGCAGTCTTTCACAGAGTGGTGAACCCCTCCCCGTCTTTACTTCTGAAACACTCAGCCGCTCTATCATGTTACTGACCTGTTGCCAATCAACCACCGGTGTTTTTTTTATAGCTTTACACAACTTTACTAGCCTTTTGTTGCCCCCGTCCCAACTTTTTTGGAATGTGTTGTTGGCATTAAATTCAAAATGGGCAAATATATTTCAAAAAACAAAATTTCTACATTTCAACATTTGACATGTTGTCTTTGTGCTATTTTCAATGAAATATAGGGTTTAAATGATTTGCACATCATTGCATTTTGTTTTTTATTTAAATTTTGCATAGCGTCCCAACTTTTTTGGAAATGGGGTTGTATTTTGCATCATTTGAAGATGCCAGTTGCTCTTTACATTATGTCAAAATATCATGAAGAAAAATCCAGATGATCCAAATTGACTTAGACTAAAATATCTTCACATTACCTTCCACTGAAAGTTAAAATTGATCTTTTCTTCTTCTGTAAAGTTACTTTTTTGGAGATACAAGTTTTTTTTTTGGTTTCAATTACATGTTATATTAGTAGTCTGTAATAATGGTATTAACTACATTGCAGTGACAGATGTTTAGCTATGCTGGTACATTAACAGGTGGTTTATGCTGACATTGCTAAAGCAAGACAGCTACTAGACGCGTATAAAATCAGTCATTATTTTAACCACATTAGCATTTGTAGATAAAACACTGCTTTGGGTGTCTAATATTTTTAGTAAATATTTCAATAATAATTACATTGAAACGACTTATAACTAGCTATTCTTGTATGCAAAAGTTTTTGTACCCTTGGTCAAATTCCATGTGAAAATAAGGTACAGGGGAACTTCACCAATTTTTTAAAAATTCTACATAAAGGGTTAAGATGCAAACAAAATCATTCAGAGTGGTTTGGTGTGAAATACTCTGTTCTAGAGAAACTTACTGAGTCAGAATTGTTCACAGTGGTGGTGATAGGAACCAGACGTCCACCTCTAAAAGCTCCCTCACAGAAAGTTACTACATGAAATGGTTATAAATAAACTGCCTGATGTCTGAGACACTGTTCTCTGACAGTTTTGAGGTAGTTTTGCGCTACAATGTCCTTTCTAAATCTGTTCATATGGGAGAGATACCGCTCTGAATGACTTGGTTTATATCCCAACCACTGAATTATACAGAAATTTTGAAAAACTGGTGGAATTCCCCTTTAAACATCTTCTACAGAAAACACACTTCTGCTGAATTTAACAGATTGAGGAAAAAATAAAACTTGAATGTGGCCTGTGCAAAAGTCGGCACATTAAATATTGTTTTATTTTATCCAATATGTTAAACTCAGGAAATAAATAGAAATTGTGCACTGAAATGAGCAGAAGAGTACATGTGTGAGTTGTTTACCATAGATGATTGGTTAACCTATTTTCACTTAGAAAATCAACAAGACAAGTAATTTGACTTTTGCATATTTTTTATGTTTCTGCAGGTGGAAACGTACAAAAGCTTCAGGCCTGGTGACATCGTCCTCGCCAAAGTGGTATCCTTTAATGTGTTTCACACATAATCTCAAATATGATCACTCTCATGTAGTTTGTGGGTGGGTGATGTGGCAGAATTATCATACCACAATATTCTGACACAAACAGAATGCACTTGTTGTGCCGCATTTAAAAACTGCCATCAAAAACTGAGTACAGTGATTTTTATTCAACATTTCATGCTGTGCAACACTAAATCCAACTAAACAGGACTAATTGTGCTCTATTTGTAAAACATGCCATTGGTCAGTGTGTAAGTACTGATCATGTCCACAGAATGCTCAGAAAAGTGTATTGTTTTTCGTGATAACAAAATTGTTCATGATAATGATGAATATCATCATATTGCCCACTTCTAGAACAGCTGATGGATGTTAAAATAGTTGCTGTGAGTGGAGGCTTTAGTTTTCTCCTGAACTCCTGCACTGTCATCGTGTGATGCTCACAGAATTGATATGACACTTGCTGTTGACCCTTGACTCCAGCGGCCAGATCTCATTGGGTGATGTGCAGTCGAACTATCTGCTGACCACGGCGGAGAATGAGTTGGGTGTGGTCGTGGCTCACAGTGAAGCAGGTGAGTGGACACACCCAGTCAGGTGGAGCAGGTGATGGTGCAGCAACCCGTCATGCATGTGTGCCTGTAACAAACCATGATCTGTCTCACGAAGTACGTTCAGCTAAGATGGACCATGACTCAGTCTCAGCTTCACAAAACCTAAGACAGCTGTCCTTAAAAAGGGGGATTCCAACGACTTTTCAAAATTTCTGTACATTTCAATCATTAAGATGTAAACAAAGTCGTTCAGTGGTTTGATGTGAAATGATCTGTTCTTGAGAAACTTACCAAGTCAGACATCTGAAGAGTTTAATGTCTCTAAAAGCCCCTTTACTGAAAGTTACAACAACATGTTTTACGATAGTTCCGAGATTCAAATACTTTTTAAGGTATTCTGTTAACAACATTACATATAAAAACTCAGGAGACACGTGTAGGCTCACTGGTGGTTTTGGAGAGTAAATAACATGGCTATATTTGTGTTGTAGACAGTGTCTGTGTTTACATTCAAAGATTTTCTCCAATCCGATTGAATACGTTCCAATTTTAGACGAAGACTGAGGTGTTTTATTCTCACTCTGCTCAACAATCTGATGAAAATCTCTGTTTACATCCACACTACAAGTAATCAATCCAAAATTACGCGCATGTGTAGAGAACCGCTTAGCGTAGACGTTACCATGACAGCGAGCATCACGTGAGTCCAGTCAGAGTGAGATGAGCAGCAGTGAGCAGTGCTCATGTTTTTAATTACTTTAAAATGATGTCAGACTCAGGAAAACGTCCTTCACATGACCTTATTAAAGCAGGCCGAGAGGAAGACGTCGTGTTCTGAGACACATAAGCTGGACGTCCGTCCCACCGCCGTCTTTTAAAGACCAGAGCATAAACTTCGTCTCCTCTGCAGACCAGTTTCTGCTCCGCCATGTTGAACGGTATAAACTTTCACTACAAACATGATCAGAACGTACTTAAAGTTTCCGATAGGGAATGTAATCAGATACAGGCGTTTACATGGTTATTATTCTTCTATTTAACTGATTATTTACAGGATTACCCACCTCGTTTAGTCGAATAGATATTGTATTCTGAATGGATTAATCGGGCGAATTCTATTCCGATTGAGCTATTAGTTGGACTATAAATGGATTATTAGGCTGCATGTAAATGTTACCATGACTGTGACCCCTGGTTCCTATCACCACCACTGTAATATAATCAGTTTCTTTACAGAGAACCATTTCACATCAAACCACTCTGAATGATTTGATTACATCCCAGTGATTGAATTAGACAGAAATTTAGAAAGATTGGTGGTATTCCCCTTCACTTGTTTTCCGACAGCAGTTCGAATTCTCTGTTAAACCAGGTTTAGATATTCAGGCTGTTTAAATCATGTATGCATTAAAGTGTGACATTTATGAACAGGCAATCGCATGAAACAAGCAGACGAGTATTAGAAGCTACAACATAAAATTTAAGATGGAAAAAAGTCAAATCTATTTTTTTTTCAACTGATGAACCAAAAATAAATGCAACATTTTTTGCAGGAAATGATGTAAAGCATTTTGTCTCTAGAAGTGAATTTGATGGGAGTATCACTTGCAATTAGTGTATGGAGATGTAACTACAGAGAGATTCCCTCGAAAGAGGCCCCGGATATTCTGTAATAGCTCTCAGTAGGATGAAGCAATTTGAATCAAACAATGTGCTCCTCAGTATATGGAGCTTCGAATAAGCCGGGATGCCCCTGCGTCGGACCGATGAGGCAGGCGACGGACAGCCTCCATTTGCAGCTTCCAGGTGCAAAACCCCCGTACCCCTTCACTCAGTCACTCGACTTCTCATCAGGATGGTGCTGTACAGTATTGAGCAGCGCGTCTTCATGGTCCGAACAAACTGGGTCACCAATTCGTGATGTGATGTCAGAGTGAATTTAGGAAGAAATATGGAGTGTCTCTCAATTCCGGGGCTGCGTCCTTCAGAGGCTGCATTTAAAGGCCGATTGCGTCACAGCGGAGCGACTAGGCCGTACCATTTTGAAGGCTCCTTCATATGCGGCCGATAAATGTGTCCTCCTTTTCCATGGCAACGAAGGATCCAACAGATGCATCCTTCGCCAGCCAACATATCCTGAAGTTCATTAAATGCCGGCAAGGATTCCAGAACATGGTGGCATCAACAGAGAAGCGAACGGCGGCTGAATAGTACACTTTTTTAAATATAAGTTAAATATATAAGTATTAGGTTTAAACTGAGGCGCATGGCTAACAGTACAAATGCTAAAAATAAATAAATTAAAAAACACCAATCTCATCAGTAGCCAGCGGTGAAGCATCTCCAGTTCTAATAAATTAAAAAATAAACAACTAAATTCAAAGTTTTTGGCCTCATCCGTAAAGAAGGATGCCCCTGAATTGGGACACACTGATGGTGTTCGTGACGTACCCTTAAACGGTGTTAGTCAGAAGATGGTACGGAAACTGGAAACGATGGGATCATTGATCCCTTCTCATGGAAGAGGCTGTCCGAAAATGCAATCGATTACACACACGTCACGGTATGTTGTATATTTTTTTGGTTCAGATTGCTTCATCCTAACGGGAGTTACAGCAGAATAATCGGGGCCTCTTTCGAGTGAATCCCCCTGTATTAAGGCAAGGGGACAGATGACCAAGTATCAGAGAAGAAAGGGTGTCTGAGGAGATTATGTCCTCATTGTATGGCTTGATGAGCTTGTTTGACTAACGTTCTTTGCTCTCCATCCATCGTGGCCTCAGGAGCGCAGATGGTGCCCATCAGCTGGTGCGAGATGCAGTGTCCCCGCACGCACAACAAAGAGTTCCGCAAGGTGGCGCGGGTACAGCCGGAGTACCTGCAGGCCTGAACTGGACGTCCTGTACCTTTCCATCCTTTACCCCCGGAACACACAGCTTCACACGCAAACGCAGGCCATGTACACGTGGTCCACCGCGAGACTAGAACTCTCGGGTTCTTGCGCAGAAATTCCGATTTGGACTGTAACATTTTATCATCAGCATCAAAACCTGTTTTATGCTCTGGTTAAATGTGAACCAACCATCCTAGAACTCAAGGGGAGGCAGCACTCTAGAACCCCTGGGATTCTGATTCTTGGGGCTGCATTCTAGAACCCCAGGGATTCTAGAGTGTCCTTCTAGAGACTTAAACTGGAGAGTAAGTGGGCTTTACTGCATCACTGCGATGACGCCATCTGCAAGTCCAGGACAGCTAGCTTTCCATAACGGGATTTTGAAGTATTGGTCATTTATTTTGGCTGCACTGTATTCAAGCCTCTGTAAAACACATGAACCGCTTACAAAATGATCAGAGATGCTATCGTCGCTTCCCGTTTCATTTTATTCTCAAATATGTTTTCGTCCTGCATTTTGTAAACTTTCTCCCCCTTTTTTCCTCTTTTCATTTCTGTACATAGAGTTCATGTATTTACAAGAGCCACAATAAAGTGTTTATTCTAAATAATGCTGCTCACTTCATGTTTTAATATATACAGTTTCACAGTGACTGATCAAGCTGTCTGCAGTTCGTTAAAAAAAAAAAAAAGAGTCATCTGTTTTATCACTCAGCAGCTCCTCCGTTAGTGGTGACACATGTAAATGAATTATTTTACACCAATGCACATGGACCTCGTGCGTCATTCCATAGTCGGATTTTCTCGAGTCCTGAGGTGCAGAAAAAGACTGCAAAGCTGATCCTTTTTTGTGCTGTGTACACTTTTCTACTGAATGTCTATGGATCCTCTGAGTTTAAGGTCATTTAGCAGCCATGCTACAAGCAATTTAACGTTACTGCACACTGAAGTGACGTCACGTCACACCGATACGTGACTATTAACTTCAACGCTATTATACACCAACACCAGCTACTCCAACTGAGGCCTAAATCTCCCAGAGCTTCTAAGTAACCACACTCGCTTGCTGGTTTATGGACTTTGGTGAGGGCAGTCTTAGACGTTCGTTCAGTGCACAGCAGTGTTCGCTTGCATGTAGCAATAGTCCTATTTCGAATCCTTAACCACCTCGTAAATTGGTGGAAACATTGGGCCTCGTTCACCAGCCGTTCTTAAGAAGAACTTTAGTCTTAAAACCCACTTGCGCAGTCCTTACAAAGCTTCTGATATTCACCAATGTTTTCTTATCTGCGATTTGTTCTTAGGTAAGAACACAATCTATACATTCAAGAGCACGAAGGTGAGGACAGTTCCGCAGTTCAAGAACGTCATGAATCTGACGTAGGCTTTTTCTTAGGACCTTCCTCAAGAACAAATTAAGGAAAAAACTTAGGAAGATGTTGGAGAACGAGGCTTTACCACGGGAGGAATATTCAAAAACGTCATTCGTTTTCGTCATTGAGAAAACCGGCTTTAGACCTGGAGTTCCTAATATGGCCATGACACCGACTACAGAATGACAACACAGCTTCAGGTCTATTGTGTCAAAATAAATAACACCTGATTGGATGAATCTGGCTTAAAACTGGCAAGGCAGTCAGAATCAAGTGACTGAGACCAACATAATACCTAGCATAAAAGCAGTTTCAGTCCAGATACAGGGCCTAAAAAGTGAACAACCAGACTATGACCATGTTTAACATGACTGGCATTGGTTATTTCACCCAACAATCACCTCAGATTAGAGAAACAATATTTCCAGAGTGAAATATTTAAAAAAAACGGGAATATAAATATTTAATCGCTGGATCTGATTCCCTACAGGACAGTTTTCCTCAACTGAACTTGCTGTTCAGTCTTTTTACGGTAGGACAGCCTCGCAGCACAGATCTCACATCCATTCACAGGTCCATCCGTTGCCACCTCAGTCATCAAATCGCACTGAGTTTCGAGCGTTGATGTCAATGGCAAACTTCTTATTGGATGGTGCTGTAAACCCTAGCCCCGCCCCTTTGTTCTGTAAGTCCATGCGGCGGTTCTGGGCGCGCTCAAACTCTCCCATGAGATCCTGCTGTAAAGTCCTCTGGCCCTCCTGTCCCAGAGCCATGTTTCGTGTTCAACTGACCACTGTTCGGTCTGATTGATGGGCTGCCCTTCTTGAAGCCGCCCATCAAGCGAAGGAACTTCATCTGTCTGTCCGAGCTGTCAAAGTGGGCAGTGTCCCACTGGCCAAAGTTCTGGAAGGAAACAAAAGTCAAACGTTATAATGTACAAAATTAAACATTATAAAGTTACCAAATTAATGTAATTTGTAATGTGTAGTACCCATAATTAGGTAGTACTTTGCTATGAATATAATGTTCCAGGTTGTACTGGCTACAGCTGCTGCAGTGCAGCCTCTAAGTGATCTCATAGATGATGTTTTATTATATTGAATATGAAATCATATCATCATACCTGCTGTCGGAAGAAAACCTCGCATCTCAATTTTTTGTCGTTTTTTAGTTTTTAACATAATCTGAAAATGCCTGTTGCTCTTTACATTGTGTGTAAATTTCATGATGAATGAACCAAAAGAAACGGCCCAAAACGACTTGCAAAAAAGTCTGGTTCCATTGACTTACATTAAAAGTAAAGTAGGTTTTCTCCTTCTCCTGTAAAGTTACTATGTTGGAGATACGAGGTTTTTTTCCGACAACAGCGATATGTAACACTGGCTCTTATTCATTAAAGTGGCCTAAAAGTGCCAGATATGATCTTTAATGACGTAAGAACTACTCTGAATCTAATTCATGAAGCTTTTTGTACAACGTGGAAACAAGCAGAGATTTGTGTGCAAATGAGTCAGCGTCAGTGCATGAAATCAAGCGCCAGCCTACCAGCACCTCATTTACATGAAGCGAGCCTTATTTCATGTAGGGACTCAATAAAATAACAGCACTGAGAGGTTTGTGAGCTCGTAGCCAGAGTTTGAGGACAAGCAACAAGCCCTGCTGACCAAACTAAAATTACGACCACTGCAAAGAATGAAATAAAATGAACACAATATGAAATAAGCAAAACGTTTTACTTTCTTTAAGACGGTATAATGAGGTGATGATTTTTCCACAATAACAGATGAAAAGCTGTATTATTGCAGTGAGATGCTTCTGCACTGGCTGTGTTCTCTATTTTTTTCTTGCTACAAGTCAGTTTGATAGAAATGAGCTGCTGGGCAGCAAAAAGCACTGAAATAATTTTATTTGCAATTTGCCCAAATAGTGGATGGAAACATTACTTCAAGCTACTTTCAGCATTTGTTCAACTATGCTTGCATCTATATTGGGTGAAGCACATAGAAATCACAGCAGTTTTATAGAGTTCCGCTATTTGAGGAGACTAAAAGCAACTGCAGACATTTTAACCGTTATAATGAGAACAAGACCAACACAAAAACATTAACACATCCTCTATAGAGAACACAGGTCTGCACATTTAATGCACAGTGTTTATTTACTGAATTTAAACACTGGGAAATACATAAAACATCAAAAGTGGTCTGTGCAAAAATTATACCACATTTATTTTTATTTTTTTTCCCCTTAATACGTTGAATTGGCAGAAAAGGGCCACATTTAACTGTGTGCTCTCTTAGAAAATCAACAAAACATGGAATTTGACTGGTCAAACCTTTGCATACGACTGCATATGTGAAGGAGATGTTTGTGTGGATACTGACCGACTTGGGTTTAGACTCCTCATCGATGTCTCTTTGCAAAGCTAACCTCCGTGCCTGGAAATGCAACAGTACGTTGGATTAGATGCATATATGAAAGAGACAGTAGGGTCAGTCTGTTTGTACTGGTGTTTACCTGGTCGATGGAGATCTCGTCCCGATTTCCTGGCTTTGCAGACAGGAACACAACATCACTGGGCTGCAGAGACACAACAGCACTATTAAACCAGGTCCAGATCACTGCACATAAAGTAAATTCAATTCTGAATAGATTTATACTGCACAGAGATGCTATTTGGTCCATATCATCATTATTAACATGGGTTAATATCTTCATTATACTTATAAACACAATACAGTGTACACTGTCAAAGGGTTTGGGGTTATTATAAAATGTATTCACACAAATCAGCATGTTTTTATACATAATATGTGTGTGTGTGTGTATGAGCGTGTGTGTCTGTGTGTGTGTGTGTCTGTGTCTGTCTGTGTGTGTGTGTGCGTCTGTGTGTGTCTGTGTCTGTGTGTGTGTGTCTGTGTGAGTGTGTGTCTGTGTGAGTGTGTCTGTGTGTGAGTGTGTGTGTGTCTGTGTGTGTGTGTCTGTGTCTGTGTGTGTGTGTGTGTGTCTGTGTGCGTGTCTGTGTGTGTGTGTGTGTGTGTGCGTCTGTGTGTGTGTGTGTCTGTGTGTGTGTGTGTGCCTGTGTGTGTGTGAGTGTGTCTGTGTGTGTCTGTGTGAGTGTGTGTGTGAGTGTGTCTGTGTGTGTCTGTGTGAGTGTGTGTGTGTGTCTGTGTGTGTCTGTGTGTGTGTGAGTGTGTCTGTGTGTGAGTGTCTGTGTGTGAGTGTCTGTGTGTGTGTGTGTGTGTGTGTGTGTGTCTGTGTGAGTGTGTGTGTGTGTGAGTGTCTGTGTGTCTGTGTGAGTGTGTGTGTGTGTGAGTGTGTCTGTGTGTGAGTGTCTGTGTGTCTGTGTGTGTCTGTGTGTGTCTGTGTGTGTGTGTGTGTGTCTGTGTGTGTGAGTGTGCCTGTGTGTGTGTGAGTGTGTCTGTGTGTGTGTGTGTCTGTGTGTGTGAGTGTGCCTGTGTGTGTGTGAGTGTGTCTGTGTGTGTGTGTGTGTGTGTGAGTGTGCCTGTGTGTGTGTGAGTGTGTCTGTGTGTGTCTGTGTGTGTGTGTGTGAGTGTGTCTGTGTGTGTGTGTGAGTGTGTCTGTGTGTGTCTGTGTGTCTGTGTGTGTGTGTCTGTGTGTGTGTCTGTGTGTGTGTGTGTCTGTGTGTGTCTGTGTCTGTGTGTGTGTGTGTGTGTGTGTCTGTCTGTGTGTGTGTGAGTGTGTGTGTGTGTGAGTGTGTCTGTGTGTGAGTGTGTCTGTGTGTGTGTGTGTGAGTGTGTCTGTGTCTGTGTGTGAGTGTGTCTGTGTGTGTGTGTGTGTCTGTGTGAGTGTGTGTGTCTGTGTGTGTGTCTGTGTGTGTGTGTGTGTCTGTGTGTGTGTGTGTCTGTGTGTGTCTGTGTGTGTGTCTGTGTGTGTCTGTCTGTGTCTGTGAGTCTGTGTGTGTCTGTGTGAGTGTGTGTGTGTGTGTAGTCAGTGTGAGTCTGTGTGTGTGTGTGTCTGTGTGTGTGTGTCTGTGTGTGTAGTCAGTGTGAGTGTGTGTGTGTGTGTAGTCAGTGTTGTGTACTCACTCCTGTTTCTGCGATTTCCTCCGCTTCTCTCTCAACCTTCACTCTGATCGTCTTCATCATTAACGTGGCGTCAGCAGCTGCCTTCTTCACCTCCGTCTCGCTCTTTTTCTTTTTCTGCTTTTCTTTCGTTCCACTCTGAGAGAGATTTCCATCGCCGTCTCCCTCTCTCTCCGGCTGAGCTTTTTCCTCAGCGCTTTCCGTCCTTACCGTCTTCTTCTGTTTCTTTTCCGGCTCTTCTTCTTTCGTTCGTCCGTTTATGCTGGTGCTTTTTTTCCTTTTCTTCATCTGTTTACTTTTCATCCCCTCTGCTTTTTCAGGAGACGATAAACCGCGTTCTTCTTCTTCTACGCTGGACGTTTTCTCTTTTTTCTTCTTCTTTCTCTCCTTCGGTTCTTCTCTTTCAGCCGCCGCGGCCTCCTCTTGTCCTGCGCTCTCTTCTGTCTTCTTTTTCCTTTTCTTGTTCATCTTTCCTGCTTCCGTTTCTCCACCCACCTCCTTGTTGTCCAGAGCTTCGTCTCCTGGCTCCGTCATCTTCCTCTTCTTTTTCTTCTTCTTGGTTTCCGTCTCTCCGTCTGGTTCCAGGCCCATCTCCTCCCCTCCTTTTTCCTCCACTGATCCCTTTGTGCAGCCTTCCTCGGATTTGCCTTTAGCTTTCTTCGTCTTTCTGACTTTTTCTGGTGCATCGTCCGTTTCTCTGCTTCCTTCACTCATCACTTTGTTTTCTTTCTCTTTCACTTTTACCTTCTTCTTTGGAGACTCAACTACACCCATCTTCGTCTTCATCGCTGGAGCTTTTTTCTTCACTCTCTTCTTCACTTCTTCTGGCGATGCTTCTTCATCCGCTGTTCTTCCAGCCTCAACAACCATCTCCATGGCTTCCCCTTCTATCGGTGCTTCTTTCTCCAACTTCTTTTTCTTTTTTCTTTTTTCCTGTCCTCCCTCGTTCATCCCTTCCTCACGGTCCTCCTCTATTTTGGCCTTCTTTTTCTTCTCCTGCTTTTGAGGAACGCCAGCGCTCCTCGTTTCCACACCTCCCTTGTTGATGTTTACCTCCATCCCTTCTTTGACTTTTTGGGTCTTTTTCTTCTCCTTCTTTTCAGGAACTCCTACATCCCTCGTTTCCAGACCTCTCTTGTTGATGTTTGCCTCCATCTCTTCTTCCTTGACTTTTTTCTCCTCCTTTTCAGGAACTCCTACATCCCTCGTTTCCACACCTCCCTTTTTGATGTTTACCTTCGTCCCTCCTTCTTTGACTTTTTGGGTCTTTTTCTTCTCCTTCTTTTCAGGAACTCCTACATCCCTCGTTTCCAGACCTCTCTTGTTGATGTTTGCCTCCATCTCTTCTTCCTTGACATTTTTCTCCTCCTTTTCAGGAACTCCGATATCCCTCGTTTCCGCACCATCTTCACTCGTCTGCTTCATCCTTTTCTCTTTGAGCTCCTTCTTTATCTTCTTTTTCTTACCTTCCTTTTCTGGAACCCCTACATCCCTCGTTTCCACACCTCCCTTGTTGATGTTTACCTCCATCCCCTCCTCTTTGACTTTTTGGGTCTTTTTCTTCTCCTTCTTTTCAGGAACTCCTACATCCCTCGTTTCCACACCTCCTTCACTCGTCTGCTTCATCCTTTTCTCTTTGAGCTCCTTCTTTACGTTCTTTTTCTTCTCCTTCTTTTCAGGAACTCCTACATCCCTCATTTCTGCACCTCCCTTGTTGATGTTTACCTCCATCCCCTCCTCTTTGACTTTTTCCTCTTCCTTTTCAGGGACTCCGATATCCCTCGTTTCCACACCCTCTTCACTCGTCTGCTTCATCCTTTTCTCTTTGAGCTCCTTCTTTATCTTCTTTTTCTTACCTTGCTCTTCTGGAATCTCCACATCCCTCGTTTCCACACCTCCCTTGTTGATGTTGACCTCCATCCCCTCCTCTTTGACTTTTTGGGTCTTCTTCTTCTCCTCCTTTTCAGGAACTCCTGCATCCCTCGTTTCCACACCTTCACTCGTCTCCTCCGCCCCTTGTTCTTTGAGCTCCTTCTTGATCTTCTTTTTCTTCTCCGCCTTTTCAGGAACTCCTTCATCCCTCGTCTCCACACCTCCTTCACTCGTCTCCTCCTTCTCTTTTTTGATCTCCTGCTTTTCTGGAACCCCCACATCCCTCGTTCCCAGGGTGGTGTTTGCCATCGTCCCCTCCTCTTTGACTTTTTTCACCTCTTTCTTCTGTCCATCTTTTCTGAAATGCCCACGTCCCTGGTTTCCATTCCCGCTTCTTTTTTGGAACTCGTTGACTCTTTTTTTCTTTTTCACGTTGTTCTGTTTCTTTTGCTTGTTATTAGGCGTTTCTTTAACTGTCTGCTTTACAAGCAACTGAGCTTGATCTTTCATTGCTTTCATCTCAGCCTTCCTGGCCTTTTTTTTCTCAGCTATCTTTTTCCAAAACTCCATCTTCTTCCTCTTTGCAGCACTGATCGTAACGCCTTTGCCTTCATTCGGTTTTGTGTCTGGTTCGGCCTCCATTGATAAATTCTTGGCTTTTCGTAGGAGGTGGTTCAGCATAGAGATGACACTCTGCCACCGCTGCTCTTTCGTTTTCTGTGCCTTATTAGTCTTCTGCTGCTTTGGTGCATTACTTTTCTTCTTTTTCTTCTTAGTCTTCACTTTGGCAGTCGGGTTTGGCACCATCTGAAACAACAGCAACACAACATTAAATGAGATTCTGTTTTATTGATATGCTGAATCTGAAACCGTCAGGCTTCACTTACACATACATTACAGCTCAAACGTTTCATTTACACTGATCAGGCAAAACATTATGACCACCTCCTTGTTTCTCTGCTCATTGTCCATTTTATCAGCTCCACTTACTATATAGGTGCACTTTGTAGTTCTACAATTACAGACTGTAGTCCATCTGTTTCTCTGCATACTTTGTTAGCCCCCTTTTACCCTGTTCCTCAGTGGTCAGGACCCCCTATTTGGGTGGTGGATCATTCTCAGCACTGCAGTAACCCTGACGTGGTGGTGGTGTGTTAGTGTGTGTTGTGCTGGTCTGAGTGGATCAGACTCAGCAGTGCTGCTGGAGTTTTTAAACACCTCAGTGTCACTGCTGGACTGCGAATAGTCCACCAACCAAAAATATCCAGCCAACAGCGTCCTGTGGGCAGCGTCCTGTGACCACTGATGAAGGACTAGAGGATGACCAACACAAACTGTGCAGCAGCAGATGAGCTATCGTCTCTGACTTTACATCTACAAGGTGGACTGACAAGGTAGGAGTGTCTAATAGAGTGGACAGTGAGTGGACACTGTTTAAAAACACATTTATACAATCCCAATTCCAAAAAAGTTGGGACGCTGTGTAAAATGTAAATACATGTAAATCTAAACAGAATGCAGTGATTTGCGAATACAATAGACCCATATTTTATTCACAGTAGAACACAGAACACAGATCAGATGTTGAAAGTGAGACATTTTACCATTTCATGAAAAATACTAACTCGTTTAGAACTTGATGGCAGCACCGCATCTCTAAAAGTTGGGACAGGAGCAGCAAAAGGCTGGAAAAGTAAGTCCTACCATCTACAGTACATAATATCATCAAAAGATTCAGAGAACCTGGAGAAATGCCTGTATGCAAGGGACAAGGTCGACGGTCAATATTGGATGCTCGTGATCTTCGGGCCCTCATGCAGCACTGCATTGAAACCAGGCATGATTCTGTACTGGGAATCACTGCATAGGCTTAGGAACACTTCCAGAAATCATTGTCTGTGACCACAGTTCGCTGTGCAATCCACAAATGCAAGTTAAAGCTGTATCATGCAAAGAAGACGCCATATGTCAACACGATCCAGAAACGCCGCCGTCTTCTCTGGGCCAAAGCTCATTTAAAATGGACTGAGGCAAAACGGAAAACTGTTATTTGGTCAGATGAATCAGAATTTGACATTCCTTTTGGGAACCACGGACGCTGTGTCCTGCGGACTCAAGAGGAGAGGGACCATCCAGCTTGTTATCAGTGCACAGTTCAAAAGCCTGCATCTCTGATGGTCTGGGGTTGCATTAGTACCTATGGCGTGGGCAGCTTACACATCTGGAAAGGCTCTATCAATGCTGAACAGTATATAGAGGTTTTAGCACAATATATGCTCCCATCCAGACAGCGTCTCTTTCAGGGAAGGCCTTGTATATTTCAGCAACACAATGCTAAACCACACACTGCATTCATCACAACAGCATGGCTTCACAGAAGAAGAGTCCTGGTGCTGAACTGGCCTGCCTGCAGTCCAGACCTTTCACCAATAGAAAACATTTGGCGCATAATGAAATGAAAAGTCCAGCAAAGAAGACCCAGAACTGATGAGCAGCTAGAATCCCAAGAATGGGACAACATTCCTCTCCCAAAACTCCAGCAAATGGTCTCCTCACTTCCCAGACGTTTACATACTGTTGTTAAAAGAAGAGGGGATGCTACACAATGGTAGACACGGCCCTGTCCCAATTTTTTTGAGATGCGTTGCTGCCATTACGCTCTAAATGAGTTCATATTTTTCATGAAATGGTAAAATGTCTCACTTTCAACATCTGATATGTGTTCTATGTCCTTTTGTGAATGAAATACGGGCCTGTGAGATCAAATCATTGCATTCTGTTTAAATTTACATTTATTTACATTTTACACAGTGTCCCAACTTTTCTGGAATTAGGGTTGTACATTTATTTGCAATAAAACTGGCTTCATATTATTAGAAACAATGATTCCAAACTTCTGAACAGTGATTCCAGACTTTTGATTGGCTGGGTCAGATTACCATAACTGCACTAAGTTAGCTGATGACATTGTGGTCGTTTTGCTCGCTTGATTAAAGAACATGCATCACTCATGTTGCAGCACTTGAGATGTACAATATATTGAGGCTCCTTTTAAGGAAGCTGCTTCCTACACACTCCTCACTGTTGTCCACACACCATCCACAGTGGTCCGATTAGTCTTCTACACACATTTCCCAACATAGCACCACAATGGGCTTTGGACTGTGTCGTGTCATTTACTGTGTGGTATCTTGCATTGTACTGTTGGAATATCTGTCATTTGTTGCTGTAGATCAAATCCACCAGAGTCGAACATTGACACAAGCTTCCCTGGAGCAGACGAGACTAAAAAGCAGTCTGACCTTTTTGTATAAAGGCCTCAAAATGGCCAATATGCGTATTTGGGACATTGGCCATTTTGAAAGACTGCTTTTTAGTCTCGTCTGCTCCAGGGAAGCTTCTGTTAATGTTCGACTCTGGTGGATTTGATCCACCAGAGTCGAACATTATCGAATATTTACTGCTTAGAATTTCTCTGTTTTGAATTTGATAAAATTCTGAAAAAAAGTTTATTTCCCAGTTTAAATGAAACAAATCCAAGATTTTCAATGTGACAGAGAACAGACAGAGAAAGAGAATAAAAGAGAGAGAATGAGAAAAGGACAGAATAAATAGAGAGAGGGAGAGAGAGAGAGACGACAGATAGAGATAGACAAAGAGAGAAAAAAGTGAGATAGAAAGAGAACAGACAGACAGCGAATAAAAGAGAGAATGAGAGAAGGACAGAATGAGAGAGAGAGAGAGAGAGAGAGAGAGAGAGAGAGAGAGAGAGAGAGCAGGGAGAGATAAAGAGAGAACAGGGAGTGAATGAAAAAGAAATAGAACAGTAAAAAAGTGAGAGAGACGTGCGGAGGGAGAGAGCGAGAGAGGGAGAGAAGAGAATAAAAGAGAAAGAAGAGAGACAGAGACAGAACAGAGAGACAGATCAATAGAAAGAGAAAGAGAGAAGTGAGAGATAAAGAGCGAGAGAACAGAGTGACAGGAAGAGAGAGCAGAGAGAAAAGAGAGGAACAGAGAGAGAGAGAGAGAGACAGACAGACAGACAGAGAGAGAGAGAGAGAGAGAGAGAGAGGTCAGTTTGCACGGGTGAGAAAAGCAGAAGCGGAGTTTGCGCGGAGTTGGTGCGGAGTTGTGCGGAGTTTGTGCGGAGTTTCTCAAACGCCCAGTAAATTATAAACACAGTAGAAAGTATAAACACACGCACGCGCGGTGAAACAGGGAGAGCGATACTCACTGAAAACACGTGGAGCTGAACTCATCTGGAAATGTGTTTGACTGACCCGGAAGTTTAACTTTGCGCTAGTAAGCTTCCTTAGCAACAGCAGCGCGCGTCCTTGGCAACAACCGAGCGAGCAACAGTCCGGTCTCCTTAAAAAACGTTTTCCTGAAAACCTGACATTTTTGGGGAGAACATAAAGATCTCGCTCAAAAACCAAACGTATATAATCAACCTTCACTTATTTATAGCAAAATTTCACCCCGCTGAAAAAGGGTCAGGGGCCGAATCTCAAATGGCTCCCTACTCCCTACGTAGTGCACTAGCTAGATCGGTAAATAACGGCTTCTGCACCCGAATACCGCGTTATATGTCGATTAGAAAGCCATTTATATTTAGCCACAAGCTACACGACTCACATTCGTGCACTGTTTGGGTGGAGAAGCCCTAGTTTCTTTATCGAAGCAGTGCACTATGTAGGGCGTACGGAGCCATTTGAGACCGAGCCCATGTAGAAACCGTTAAACCAGTATCTCTCAACGCTGGGCCTGGAGGCCGCTGTTGTTCTGACGAGTTGTGCATATTTTTAGATAGCGCTCTGCATAAAACTGTAGGTAGGATAATTTGATGGCCTAAATTACCCTGTCAGAAAACGCTATCAGTACTGAAACGTATAGGTGGAATGATTTTATAGCCTAAATCGTCTCATCAGAAAAAGTTACCAGCATTAAAATAATAATTATGATATTTTGATTGCCTAAATCACCTTTCCAGGGTGTAAGTAATAATATTAAGCTGAGTCCGTACTGAATCAGCATTAAAAACTCAATAAAACGTTCGAAGCATTAAGTTACTAGGCAGTAGTCATAGATATACATACCTAGATGCCGCGTTGGGTCCAGCGAGGCACGTCAACGGCGCCGCCATCTTGGGGCGGTCAACACACTGCTGGACTGCCTTCAGTACCATTATAGAGTGGGTGGGAGTTTAAGAAAGATACTGTCCAAAATTATAGTATTTCAAGAATACTGCACTCAGAAAGCAGGATATGGTTGTATAACGGGGGTTACACAGCGATCCACGCTCATGTTCGTGTGATGTGTATTGTTTGTGTGATGTTTATGTGTAGATGTTGTTGTGTGGTTAATGAGGCACAGAGAGTGTTGATGTGAGTGTTTTTCCTCTGGTTTTATATTAAGCTTATTTCATCTAATACTCTATTCAGGGGATCTTAACTTTATGTAGTATTTGCAACGATGGTTAATGCTTTATAGCGGTAAGTTATAGCAATCCTTAATCCGTGTAGATATTTACAATAGACTCACGTTAGCACCTTCTTACACAAACCTTAAGTTAACTTCTTATTTGCCAGATACTTGTTCGAATTTTCCTGTTCCGCCTTAAATGGTGCAGCTTCAGGCACCGGAAAGTAACTGCTGTATAATTTAAGGTGGAACGGGAAAACTCAAGAAGCTGGCGGACAGCCAACTTTAGCGCCTTCTTACTGTGTTTTGGGGGGTTTATTTTATTTTTATGTGTAATAAGATTAGGAGTGATTCACACATTGATGGATTTGCTGATGTGTGTGAGATTATGTTTCTTGCGCTAACTCGGTTTTTAACATCAGGTGCAGACTGAATACTCTCCTGCTGGTCTGGACGCTAATTATCACGATCAGTTATTAAAGTAATAAAAGCTTCCGAGAGCAGTCCACAGCCTAGATTAATCTGTGTCTGAGGATTATAAAAAAACAGATTTGGTGAAAATCGGTTGAGTAATAAGGAAGTTGTGGCTGATTTAATCCTGAGACTCTTCATCTCTCAATACAAGTAAATTAGTTCACAAGCAGATCTTGACCTCTCCAACATGGCGGACGCGCAGACGCACCGCCTCAGATAGAGAACAACAGACAACGCGGCATCTGTAGTAATGATATGCGCATGCTCAGTAGAACCGCTCAACGCGTACGTTAAAACATGGAGGCCTACACTGTTTGTTTTCCTTGCTTCCGTCACACCTGATACAAAACTAATCTGCTCTCACTCTAACAAACCTAAATGTGATTGTTTTGTCTGTCTGTTTGTTTTTTATTTAATTTTATTTAATTCAATTCAGTAACTTTTTTTCTTTGAGGGAAATCCCTTTCTATGCTTTTTTGCACTTTCTCTTCACATTATTTTTATTTGTTGTTGTTGTTTTTTGTATTCTGCTCTCTTTATTGTACCTTCTTATGGAAATAATTACACAAAAAACCTAATCAGCTCATTAACAATTATTTAGTAAGTTGAAATGTACGTTAAATCAAGGAAAATACTAAAATGTGCAGGGCAGTGAACCTCAAGGACCAGGCTGCAGGGCAGTGGGCCTCAAGGACCAGGGTTGATAAACCCTGCGTTAAAACTTGTTCTCGTAATGGGTTGAAACCACAGTGTCAGTGGTTTAACAGGTGACCTGTGACTTATTGTATCCACAATTGGACAGTGATGGAAAGATTTAATGAAACATTCCTGATTAATAATCAATAAACTAAATATTGGCTAACTTGAGCATTTGGAGATCTCCTAAAAGAGGTAACATTGGGGAGCAGGCTGTAGACTGCATGCATTTGGAATATCACCTCTAAAGAGGATGAACTCAGTGAACTCTTGAACTCACAAAAAAGAAACTGTACAAACTGTAGCTGCAAGTTATGGCTGAAGTGAAAACTAATAAAAGGAAATTGTGTTACATGACAGTACAAATTATAGCTGAAGTGAACTCCTGAACTTGAGTGGAGAAGCTGTGTAAGATGACACTGTGAGGATGGAACAGCCTGGTACAACCAGGTCAGAATGGTTTTAAAAAAAGGACATCATGAGCGTTTGGTTTTAAGGGGAGCAAAAAAGGGTGCAGGGTTTGGATACAATGGGGACTAAGATGATGTGGAATTGTGTAAAAAGGGGTGGGGTGATTAGTTCATCACCCCAGACTGGGTAATAAAAAGGGATGCCTCGAGATGATATTTGCATCGTGGTTGTCCGGGAACCATCTTGCCACTTAAAGCTCAATAAAGAGAAGGCCTTTCCATGCTTCCACAAGAACTCAGCGACTGAAGTCTTTTTATTCCTTTTTTATCCTTTTTTTTTTTACTTTTTGTAGATATTCTTTTATTCCTTCGATTCTTTTTAAAGAAGCTAGACTACAGATAGTTATTAGGGCAATAGCATAGAACGTATTAGAGATATTCATATATGTCTAGACCCTGGGCAGAAGACAGCTCTTGGTCGTGACACTAGCCTTTGAGCTAATCCATATCAGGAGCCAAAACCATCAGGTTTTAGTCCATTTCTGATCAACGCAATATTGTCTAAACATATCCGTCATCATTATCTTGGAACTCCCTCGCTGCGCTAGTCTTGCTGTGCAATGTTGCGCTGTATTTCTGGTATTTGCAGTATATTCTATGCTGCTGTTGTTCTGTCTTCACATTATTGTATTTTTTGCATCTGAGTTGTAATAAAAAAAAAAAAGGAAAACAAAATAGAAAGGAACAAAAAAAATCACGTTACAGCTTAAGGCTGGATTTACATGAGCCATGACAACAAACATGAGTTTCTCAAAGCTAACGTTTCTGTAACCCCCTCCATTAACTAGCCAGCTAAACGCAAACAGCTATTTGAATCGTTAATTCTTCTTTAGTCATTGTGATCAATGTAGCTTGATTCATTTCTTCTCTCTTTATGCCCCGTAATTTTACCCAAAGCTAAGATTTATTTGGGATCCAAAGCATGAAGTGTATAACAGAAGATGAGACCGAGATGAGCTCTGTGATGGACCTGTTGTGCTCCTATGACAGGACGAGCGACACATCAAGTAGGCTAAAACTGTAATGGCTACTTAAACATTCATTTTCAAAAGCTTGACATACACACAACAGATAAAATACTCAAATATATAGTGAAGAATCATGGGTAGATAGATAAATTATAATTAAATAGATATACAAAAATGGAGATGATCTGGAAAAAATATACAAAGATGATGAAAATGCAAATATGTAATATACACCTTATGAATGACTTTATAGTGAGAACCAAACATTATATCAAAAATACGAGCTGCTAATTTAGCAAATAAGTGGAGTAACTGAATGTGTTGCATGCAACTTTCATTTGCTTTGTGTAACTGTCGGTTTGCATAGAAATTATGTTGCAAGCAACTCACAACATGCAACTAGCTGCATGAAAGTTTTACTGTGTAAAGCTAGACTAAAGCTGCACTATATAAGTTTTGGGGATTTGGAAATTATGTTGCAGGCAGCTCACAACATGCAACTAGATGCATGAAAGTTTCACCTTGTAAAGCTAGACTAAAACTGCACTGTAAGTTTTGGGGATTTGGTGACCTCTCTGGTGGAAATGTGTAATTGCATGTGTCTTCTGAGAATGTGAGTGAATTATCTACTAGTGTGATCATATCTTCATCAGTATAATGATGATTTTGAGGCCTAAACATCGAGCTGGATCTTTTTTTTGAGCCTGTGCGTTTGATAAAGACGTATGATGTAGTCTCGACCTGACACCTGTCTTTTAGCTTATTATTTCAGGCTTTACAGGGGTCTTACAGCAGCATACATTTGAGCATGTTTTCTTTTCTCCTGACTCAGTAGTGCTACATGTTGCAGTTTTAAACTAAAAAAATCTTATGTAGTGCAGCTTCACAATGAATAATACATTTGATCTTATTTATTAAATCAAGGATATAACAGCTTTTTAAGAGAGTGAGATAAAGAAGAGAGACACACTGAAAAAAAACAAGTGAATTGCACCGTTTATTTAGCACGATTTGTACTCTCTGAATGTGCATGTTACTTGTACAACAAATTCAAACCATGTTTTGTCACTAAAGTGATAAATATTTGCCACACAAAAGCACCCCCCCCGCAGATTAGGCAACATTGGAGCAGTCCAAACTCTGAGTCTAGGAACCTCGACTGAACCATTCACAAACCTAGGGGGTGTCCAGGAGGAGGTGAAGCCGATTAGCAAAGCGTGCAAATAAAATTTACACCGTTGACATCAAACTATCCACAATAGCACTGACAATAAACATTAATGTCTGATTAAAGTGCTACTTACATTCTCTCACCATTTAAAATAGCCAGCTTATTCAAAACACGACAAAGGCTACTCAGTACTGCACTCACAAAATAGCTACAAAATGCCTTTTTTTGTGAATTCCTTTGCCTTTCGGTAAGTTAGAAAATTCATTTTGAAGAGAAAACTATTGAAGAGAAAATCAACAAAGGTATGCAGTACAGCATCATGTCTTAAAGTGCACATAAACACATCCCTGAATAGCATAAATAAATAAAAACAACAACATCAGACTTTCTTATCAAAACTACCATTTACAAAAGCATTTAAGAGATGTTGTGAAATTCAAGGTGGTAAAAAACATCAAGGTGGTAAAAAAAAAGAGTTAATCACAATTTGGATTGGCTCCATCTCTGGATTAATAAGTAACTAATAGCTAAGTAATCCACCATATAATGCCTAAATAAACAAATGTTTGAGAAGTGAAAAAAGAAGTTCTTCTTTAGAATATAAATTATTATTAAAATATTATTGAATATTATTATTACGTTATTAAATTATTGGTAAATGTAGCCCAAATATTTAAAGAATTATTGGTAAATGTATCTCAAATAGTGCGTGGTAGGTAATAGAAGACAGGCGTTACTGGATAGCTGACAATAGTACAGTACCTTTAGTCATCTTGTCTGTCACTGACCGAAAGTGACTTTGACTAACCAGTGCAAAAATCATCGCCTCATCAACACTGAAAACACCACTGACGTTCAGGTAAGTCGTTTATTACAATATTACATGAAAGCTTGGGCATGGCTTGAAGAGTACTATTACTTCACCACGGGACCATCTTTCCATACCCTTCAACTATGTGACATCATCTAAGGTGCTTTTTGTCCGGTGACAGGTGAGCTGTGTTTTTCGATGGCTGGCTGGTTTCACCACAAGTGCCTTCCGGTGTAGTTTGGGGGGGCAGTGGGAATCTGAGGGGCAAAGAGAAAAGCAAAACACTGTAACATTTCTGGGTGACCATGCAGTGTATGTCCAGATGTTTGCGGACACCTGCTCATCCAGTGTTTTTTCTGAAATCAGGGGTATTAATAGGGAGTTTTCCCCACTTTGCTGCGTCCAAAACCACATACTACAACCCCTTTTCCAAAAAGGTTGGGATGCTGTGCAAAATGTAAATAAAAACAGAATGCAATGATGTGCAAATTATTTAAACTCTACCTTTAAAAATAGTAGAAAGACAAAATGACAAATGTTGAAACTGAGAATTTGTATTTATTGATTTATTTAAATATATGCTTACTTCGAATTTGATGCCAACAACACATTCCAAAAATGTTGGGACAGGGGCATGTTCACCACTGTGTTACATTATCTCTTCTTTTAAAAGTAAGCTATTGGGAACTTGAGCAGACCAATTGCTGTAGTTTGCTGTAGTAAAATGTTTCCCCATTCTTGGTTGATATAGTTTTCTAGCTGCTCAACTGTTTAGGGTCTCATTTGTCTTATTTTTCATTTTCAATGCCCCAAATGTTTTCAGTGGGTGACCAGTCTGGACTGTGGAGCCATGCTGTTGCAATACATGCAGAATGTGGTTTGGCATTGTCTTGCTGAAATAACCAAGCCCTTCCTTGAAAAAGACGTCATCTGGATGGCAGCATATGTTGCTCCAAAACCTGTATATATCGTTCAGCATTAAAGATCCCTTCACAGATGTGCACGTCACCAATGTCATGTGCACTAGTGCACCCCTGTATTATCACAGAACTGTGTGTTCCCTCTCCTCTTTAGCTCAGAGGACACCACATCCATGATTTCCAAAAAGAATTTTGATTTGTCGGACCACAGGACACTTTTCCACTTCGTCTCAGTCCATTTTTAATGAGCTCAGGCCCAGAGAAGGTGGCAGCATTTCTGGATCCTGTTTTTATATGGTTTCTTCTTTGCATGGGAGAGACTTAATTTGCATTTGTGGATACATCGATGAACTGTGTTCACAGACAATTTTTTCAAAAGTGTTCCTGAGCCCATGCAGTGATTTGCTTTGCAGAATTGTGTCTATTTTCAAAGCAGTGCCACCTGTGGGTTTAAAGTTTATGACCAGCCAATACTGGTTTTTGGCCTTGTCCCTTGCATACAGAGATTTCTCCAGATTCTCTGAATGTTTTAATGATATTATGTACTACAAATGAAAATCCTCAAGTTCTTTGATATTTTATGTTGAGAAACGTTATTCTTAAATTGTTGCACTATTTGCCTGTGCAGTCTTTCACAGAGTGGTGAGCCCTCCCCATCTTTACTTCTGAAGTACGCCTCTCTGGGATGCTCTTTTTATAACCAATCATATTACTGACCTGTTGCCAATTAACCTAATAAGTTGTGATACGTTCCACCACTTGTTTTTTTAGCATTACACAACTTTACCAATCTGTTGTTGCCCCGTCCCAACTTTTTTGAAATATGTTGTTGGTATCCATATCAAAATAGGTATATATTTTTCAAAAACCAATGAAATTTCTCAGTTTCAATTTGTTATATTCTCTTTGTACCATTTTCAATTAAATATAGGGTAATTCATTAATTGATTTGCACATCATTGCATTCTGTTTTTATTTACATTTTGCACAGCATCCCAACATTTTTGGAAACAGTATGTGGTTGACTATGTCAGTTATCTATGTCTTTTAGGCATGACTCAGTGTGCAGCACTCCCACAAGTATATAATTATCTGATGTGTGTTCACTTTTGTGTTGTTATTATTAATAGTTGGTGAGTTAGCTAACTGTACCAACATGGACAGACCTTTTTCATCGGCAATTTTCCAGACCAGCCTTGGTCACGCCCAGTGACGCGAACTGCAAATGTCTAGTGTGAGTGCGTCTTTAGACTCACATGCTGCTCCAGAGCATCCCATTCTGTTGGATATGCTTATACAAGCTTTGCATGCACAACTGAAAGCCTGTGTCAGCAATCAGTGCACCTTAAAGTAGCTGAATTCACCCATTATCAGGGCTGAATGAATACTATTGGACGCACTACTGGTATGTGTGTATACTCTTCACTACACACACTCACCGTTCCTCCATTCATGAGCAGGGCCATCTCAGTGGGCTGGTACACATGGCTGCGGAAGGGAAGCGTGGGCCTGATTACTCCAGCATGGTACCCCCCAGCCTGTATAGCTGTCAGGCATAAAGATATTGTATTCACCAACAAAAACTACCTTTTCAGGAACACATTGCCAGATGTAGCCCATTAAAGGGACAATCTGGCCAAAATGAAAAGTGTAACCATAGCTTTCTGCTGAACATTGCTTACCCAAAACTTTTAGTAGTGCTGCAGTAGAGGCTAGAGGAAGAATTCCTAGTTTAAAGACTAGGAACGCCTGCTTCTGATGATATATCCTGAAGGGACTTTTGAAAAACAACTGCTGTGGGATGGATTTTTGGGGCAACTCTTTTGAATTGTTTTTTCTTCGTCAGCTGGTGAATGCAGTAGGAAGGAAACAGCTAAAGTGACTGCTAAGGAGACGAATATCTTACTGCAGCCATATAACTTGGTAACTGCCTTAAAATTAGTTGCAATTAAAAGAATGGATTACTCAAACAACAGAGATCACTCATAAGATGAGGACAAAATGCCATATAGATAAGTCAGTTTGGTTATATTAGCCTATAGATCAGTAGCTTGACTAGCAACCAGGATTGGTTGACACCACAGGGATTAATAATTGGTTTTATCATGTATTTCTGTAATTTCTGCATGCTGGGTATTGTAGTGGGAGAACATTGATGGACAACAACATGAAAATGATATTAAATCGTGAATTCTTTAAAAACTATGAGGTTGTGCTACAGAAAACTGCATAACATATTAAAGCTCTAGTTTTAGGCCGGAATGCCCCTTTAAATGTGATACATATACATGGGTTTAAACAACCAAAACACAGTGAAAATGCATTGAATTCACTTGAACCAAATTCAGTTAAATCAAATATTATAAAAATTCTCCACACACACTCAGACCTATACCTGCAGTGTGCTGCTCCTCCACGGTGAATGCCTGCCTTTCTGCATAAGCTGTCCTGTGATTGGCTGTTGGGGCCTCGTCATCATGGTAACCCTGCGTCGTTGTGGGAGGTTGGCGCGCATCGTAGTAGGAATCCTGCCCTGCCTCCTCGCTCCTCTGACCAGCAGCCGGCCTCAGGCACAGGTGCGTTTCTGGTATAGCGTGGAACAACAGCAGTGCCCAGCCAACCGTCACCAAGGCGACAGCGAGTGCGGGCTCGTCCCAGTCCGTCGTCTTTTTGCCACGGAGATGGAACGCTCTGGTCGCAATGGCCGCATTGCCATAGATATAGAACGTGAGCCAGCCCACCAACAGAAGAAGGGAAGAGAGGCAGGTGAGGAAGAGCCACACGCCGTTGCACCTCCACTTACGCCCCCGTCTCTTGCTTGCGTCCTCGCTGCCCCTTCCGCCGCAAAGCACCACACTGAGTGAAAGCCCTGTGGCGGCCAGCAACAGGCCCAACGCATAGCTTCCTGCCAGGGTGAAGTCCAAGGGCAGATAGTCGCACGCGGCCCGGCCCTCACGAGCCACCGTGAGCAGCAGCCACTCGCCGGCCAACATACCTTGCACCATGGTGAGCCCCAGAGCCAATAAGGACAGGGAACTCCCTGCAGGGCTCCGTTTTCCGGCTGCTAGCCTTCGCAGTCGCACCCCCTGCACCAACAGGCAGGAGAAACATAGCGCAAACAGCGACCCCCACAGGCTGCGGCGGGCCACGCACAGCACCTCACCGCGGCCAACTAGAAAAATTGGGGAAAGGCCAAAGAGGCACACGATACCCAGCAACAGCAGGAGAAGAGGCCCCACGCCACAGCGGCGTTCCTGCTCCGTGACCATTTTCAGCTTTGCCAGGAGCAGCGTGGCGAGAACGATGGCTGTAATTGCACCTCCGCAGGCCACCGCTTCCAAAACCACACCCCACACTGACTCTAAATCACACAGGACCCGGTAGGCAGGTGCGATGCTGGAGCCACAGCCACGAGGAGGAGGTGGGATTTCTTCCTGAGCAGTACCCTCGGAAGTGCTGCAGCCAATCAGACAGAGGAGGACGAGGAAGGCAGGGTTTGCTGCCATGGCTGCAGGGGGGAAGGAAGAAATAAATCGTTTTGATGTAGTTAATCATACAAGGAACAACTCTGTCTTCTCTTGCTGTTAATTAGACAAAGTAAACAAAACTTTCGCATATATATGACTTGTCAAATAGGAAGTCTTCGTTGGTGTGGTGTATTTCCCTCTCATGGGAAACGGGAGAATTTGCTGCTTTAGGTATGCCATTGCCCTACCCTATTTCATCCAGCCTTCACGCTTTCACCATCATAGCTGCCATTTCATATACAGAATCTCTGACAGACATGTCTTTACAAAACACTGTAAAACAGTGATGCTATATATGCTCATATCGTTCATGCTTAATTTTTGTTAGTAGATATTCTGTCCTCACTGTAGTGACTGTTAAACATTGAAAATAAAGAATATGTTACTTGAATGTCTGTTATAAATGTAAAAAGCCTTGGTGCTACCATATCACTGCAAACTCCTTAGGGATGCCAGCAGAAATTAGCATTATTTTGATGGTGGTATTGGGGTAAGCAAAAGCTACTTATCAAGTCAGTTACATGAATTGCATGAAATTTTAATATGTACAGTATACTGTGCCTGAAATGTTACAAATGCTGCCGCATATCCTTCACTGCTTTACATTTCCCATAATCCTGTGTGAACCACGATGCTTTAGAAAAATAGCCAGTATAGCCTTTATAGCATTTTCTGTTGTAAATAAAAGTTATTTTGAAAAATGTGCCTGTTTTGCTGTGTAAACATCTGTGTATTACCTATACACTGACTGTTTAAATAGGTTTCAGTATTTACTGTGGTTAGGCTTTTAAAAGCATTTTTAAAATAATTAAATCATAAAGGATTCGACTTTGGTTGGCAACTAATCTTAGCTAAACAGCTTCCTTTTGTTCTTTTTAGAATTTTTTTAAATATTATTTTAGGACAACAAGCACAAAAGCTCTTTATGTCTGCTTCTTATGGTCTGCTCCTATTGTTTTTTAGCAAATTTAATGTAAGGTAACATTCAAGGTAAGCTAGTGCTGAGGTAGCCTAGCCAGCGAAACACTGCCGCTTTAAGAACATTGGAGCTTCTTTCTGTGCGGCTAACGTTTAATTTATATAAAATATCATATTTTGGTTGTAAAAAGTTGAGTATTGTAGCCTTCTTTAAACACATTGCTCTATAAATAAAAAAATTTAATGGCTAACGCTAACAGACACTAACAGCTACCAGTCAGCTGCATCTTGGCAATGTTGTGATGTGTTCCTGTCTTCGAACTGCATCTGCCTTCAAGTGCTCTGTGGAAGCTCCTGTGTTCAAGTGGCTTTGGTTGGAAATAAAATACATTTTTTTTTATTTTCTTTTGCTTTTTTAATCGACGTAGCTGGAAAGAAATGAAAAGCAGAGGGTGCTCAATGTGTTTTTATCCCGTTAAAAACATTAAATCACAAAATATGTCCATAGGCCAGTTTTTGTACAGTGTGGCTGCTGACTGAAATACAACTTGTTGACAATACAAACTGTGGCTCCAGGACTTTTTAATAACGCCCCCAACTCTGACAGTCGGGTCTATGGAAGAAATCTTAATTTTCTTACAAGTAATTAGACACGGTGTCCCGTCCACTCATCTTGCAGTTCCAATTTTTAAAACAAGACTTGAAAGCAGCAACAAACGCAATTTGGTTACAGGTACATTCTTCACAACACTGCTTTTTAAGGCACTGAATTAATGCTGCCTTCAAATCCTTTCACAGACAATGCCTTCGATATGAGCATATGATATTTAAGGCTTTTAACTGGGTAAAAAAGTACATTGTGCATCCTCTGCTCTTCATATTGGTCCAGTAACACATGAAAAACAAAAGACAACAAAAAGAACTTTTCTGGGCTTTTTTCCCAGGACTTGAAGGCAGCCTTTGAGACAGCTTGGGCAGCAAGGCATTGAGGCAGCGGCCTACAGTTTGGGCACCGCTTATGTCTCCTTTAAGTGGAAGTTTACCAATTGTTCAAAATGTTGGCATAATTCTGTCGTTGCAGTGTAAACAGACACTCGGAGTGACTTGATAAAAGCTAAGCTCCGTTTCTCTATGGCCAGAGTAAATAAGGTTTTCGAAAAATCGCCTCTATCTCACCCTGTGTTAAATAAAAATGATCAGAACCCGATAAGTTCTGTCCTGTGAACATTCTTCTCTCGAAAACCCCTGGATCCTCTGAATTACGAGGTTGTAAAAGAGCTGAAATATTAATATTGCTACATGTGAGCTAAAGCTACTGCGCACTGAATTCACGTCATTTGACTGGCAGCCTCCTTAATCAGGTTATCACCCGCTGATAAACTGATTTCAGCTCTCAAAATATCCTAATTATTACTTTAACGCTGGTAACATTTCTCTGAAGGACATTTTCTTAGGACATTCTCCGGCTTTTTGTTTGACTTTTCCCGTTCCACCTTAAATGGTGCAGCAGTCACGTTCTGAAATGCTGAGCCATTTAAGGTGGAACGGGAAAAGTCAAACAAGCAGCCGGCGAAAAAGAAGCTGAGCTTCAGTTTCATGGAGGGCTGAAAGGCCTGATATGAGGAGGTTTCTCTGTTTCTGCTGAACAGCTGAGTAACATTAACTTATTTTTGCTGTTTCTCAGAACCGACAGGTCAGTATTTTGTCTCGTTTGCTAATGTTTGTGATAGCTAGTCTCAGCTGCTGCACCATTTAAGGTGGAACGGGATCATTCAAACAAGAAGCTGCGAAAATGAAGCTAAGTTCAGCCTTGTAGTTTAACACGGGTAGAGTTTCTGATAAGGAGTTTTAGCCTTTATCAAAATATCCCCCCCAGAGGTTTTATTTACGGGTACCCCTGTAAAAATGCGCTACGGTAGAACATTTCGATAAGGTAGCTCAGCTCGTCAGAGCTCCGCCACAGCCCGCCTTAGATTAGTGTAGCTCAGTGACATCAGACTGAGGCGAAGCAGCTTCAGCTCGCATGTAGCACTGTTAGTATTACAGCTCTTCATCGGCCTCGTAATTCAGAGGATCCAGTGGTTTTCAGGAGAAAATGTTCACAGAACAAAACGAATCGGGTTCTGAACATTTTTATTGAACACAGGGGGCGCTAGAGGCGATTTCGAAAACCATATTCATTCTGGCCATAGAAAAACGGAGCTCAGACCCGGAGATCCTAATATGGGCATAACGAGGACTACAGAATGACGCGTGACTACAGTGGTCTATGTTGATCAGAGCCGGTTTATGAGGAGCCTGGCCACTCCCTATTCCCCCTGTTATATCAAAAACAGGACTGTTAAACAGCAGAGGGCGCCTGTGAGCGGGTCCTCAATGAATGGGAGTGAATGGAGCTCAACGGCTAAAAACGAACAGTTAAAATATGTTTCTAATCACTTGTCCAGAACTTTCCTTTAGTTTTAGAAAGTAGAAGGATGTATTTCACTAAAAAAACAAAGAAATCTCACCTGTATGTTTCCTTTTTTCTACAGAAAACAGGTTTTTGGCAGCAGAAGGCGGGCTTTACTGCTAGAGCGTGATGATTGATTGGCGAGCGGAGCAGCTCATTGGCTGTTCGCGCTCACTGACGTCATGAACCTACATGAGGCGCCGTTTTAAACTCCTATAACTCGAGTTTAAAAGCTCTTAAAAACATAACAGCAGTGTTAAAATGTTTTATGCTGCTGTGTTCAGGAAATGATTCTATTCTTTTACATTAAAATGTTTAAGCGTTTATAAACTATGATTTTGCTCAAACGCTCCATATCAACCCATTCATTTTGGACTCACTCAGGAGCGCCCTCTAGTGTTTGAGAAAACCGGAAGACATTGCAGAGTGGGAATTCTCCTCTCTACAAGTTCTCTGGTAATTCTCATCTCTACAAATTCTCTGGTAATTCTCATCTCTACAAGTTCTCTGTATGTTGATATTGGTGGGGATAGTGGGGGCGGGGCTATTTTGCCTCACAATGCCCTGCATGTATCTGCCATTAATGCATTAAAATATATGGATTAATAAGACGTTTTGGGCCAAAACATTATCGCAAAACTATTAAAAAAACAATGTCTCGGGCATCAGGCAGTGTATTCATAACCTTTTCGTGCAATAATTTTGTGAGGGAGACAGAGTCTCAGACTTTCGGTTCTTATCATCACCACCGCGAACAATTTTGACTCTGTAAGTTTCTCCAGAATGGAGTATTTCACAACAAACCACCCTGAATGATTCTGTTAATATCTTAACCATGTAATTATACAGAAATTTCGGAAAAAGTGGTGGAGTTCCCCTTTAAAAGACGTTTGTTTTCTACCTGAACACAACATGTATTATCATTTACCTGATAAGCTTTCCTGATAAGTCTTTATCCTAGTTAAGGTTAAGATTAGACGAAGTGACTGAACCCGTTCTTAATCCAGTCTAACAGTAGCGACCGCACTCTGCTGCTACCAGCGCGCGCAGCCGCGCTCATTTAAAAATTTAAATTTAACGGACCTCAACGGATCAGCCTGTCCAACGGTCGTTTCTCCCACTGCCACCGACGGCTGCTTCAGCTTTGGTGAGGAAAACAGGTCATTCTTTTTGTTGTTATTCTTAATATATCCTTTTTTAATAATATGTACAAATTCAGTAGTTTTAATGATCATTTTAAACTAACGACGCTGGTTTCTGCTGTTTTAGCCACCGTGGCTAACGTTAGCCATCCGAGCGTAAACCCCAAATGACGCCGCTAGGCTACCGTTAGTTTAACACTTAAGCTAAAAGCTGCTGTTTCCTTTTGGGAAATGCTGTGACAGCCTGTAAACCTTAGATAATACCAGAGAAGTTATAAATGAGTCCTATAGTTAGGGACTTTGATAGCCGGTAAGCCATGTACGCTCTCTACGCTTGTTGCGCAAATTACGCAAGGGCCCCGCCTCCTCGCGTCAAGGATGAGTGGACGAAGTGGATCTGTCGATACGAAAAAAACTAAAAAAAAACGCCGCGAGAGTGAATTACGGGAACGGCGATCAGGTAAACGTG